CGTTCCCCCTACACAACACACGCGCGCGCGTCCATAGGTACACATACACGCGCTTGCTGCAGACACACACGACTTTCAGGGTGCATACGGCAGTAAACGACTGAAATAATAAAGCGGCAATGCTGTGTAAGGAACGCCTTAGACCCGCATTATACATTTGTGTAATGCGAGCGTAAACACACAAACACACACAAACACATACACAATACACACACACATACATGCAGACACACAGACAGACACATAACACACATACATATACACACATACAAACACAGAAACACATACACACACATACATAGACACACACATACATACACACAAACACATCCACAGACGTACATACACACATACATACAGGCACGCAGACATACACATAAACACATACAAAAAAACCCACATACATACACACACACATACATACACACAAACACATGCACACACATACATACACACATGCATACAGACACACAGACATACACATAAACACATACACACATACACATGACCCGGCTTCGCCCGGGACTTGGATCCACCACGGCGGCAAAACCGACATACATACACACACAGACATACACACAAACACATACACACACATACATACACACATGCATACAGACACACAGACATACACATAAACACATACACATGACCCGGCTTCGCCCGGGACTTGGATCCACCACGGCGGCAAAACCGACATACATACACACACAGACATACACACAAACACATACACACACATACATACACACATGCATACAGACACACAGACATACACATAAACACATACACATGACCCGGCTTCGCCCGGGACTTGGAGCTACCACGCCCAGCCGCCTTTGTCTCCCAAGTGCCGATGTTAATACGCCACACCAGTTACTCGTTTGAGGCTGAGTGGACCTAGGGGAGGTTCAAATAATCGTCACCGGTGGTGGCCGTGAGCGGGAATGGAACTGGGTTCGCCGGGTTGGTAGCGCAGCGTAGCGTTAAGCACTACACCCACCGCTCCTCACACACCACACACGCACAGACACAGACACACGCAGACACACACAGACAGACACAGACAGACACAGACACACAGACAGCACGCTAAGCACTACACTACCGCTCCCCACACACCACACACGCACACACACAGACACACACACAGACACACGCAGACACACACAGACAGACACAGACAGACACACACACACACAGACACAGACAGCACGCTAAGCACTACACTACCGTTCCCCCTACACAACACACGCGTGCGCGTCCATAGGTACACATACACGCGCTTGCTGCAGACACACACGACTTTCAGGGTGCGTAAGGCAGTAAACGACTGAAATAATAAAGCGGCAATGCTGTGCGAGGAACGCCTTAGACCAGCAACACATTTGTGTAATGCGAGCGTAAACACACAAACACATACAAACACATACACACACATACATACACACACATACACACAAACACATACACACAGACATACACATACACACAAACACACACATACATGCACACAAACACATACACAATACACACACACATACATGCAGACACAGACAGACACATAACACACATACATACACACACATACACACACATACATAGACACACACATACATAGACACACACATACATACACACAAACACATGCACACACGTACATACACACATACATAGAGACACGCAGACATACACATAAAGACATAAAAAAAACCCACATACATACACACACACACACAAACACATACATACACATACATACACACATACATAGAGACACACAGACATACACATAAACACAAACACACATACACATGACCCGGCTTCGCCCGGGACTTGGATCCACGATGCCCCGCCGCCTTTGTCTCCCCAGTGACGATGTTCACACACGACAGCAGTTACGCTTTTGAGGCTGAGTGGACCTAGGGGAGGGCCAGGTCCGTTTCAAATAATCGTCAGCGGTGGTGGGCGTGAGTTGGAATCGAACTGGGGTCGCTCAAGCAGCTTAATGACTGTTTGTACAAAGAACATATAAAGAATCGATTATAATAACCAGGCAAGAGTCCACATTATAGACTGCCAGTACACGCACTCAGCTTCATAAGCAGGCTAGAGTGTACATGATAGAGTGGCAGTACGCTCACCGAGCTTAATAAGCAGGCTACAGTGTACATGATAGACTGGCAGTACGCTCACCCAGCTTAATGAGTATTTGTACAGTGAACATTAAAGTAATCGATTGTTGGCGCGTTGGGTTTAAAAGTAATATTAATAGCACACATTGTGGTGGGGGTGTAGTGAAGAGTAGGAAAAACTTTGATGAATTTACCTCAGAGTGGCGTGGTGGGTGTCGAGGCCTAGTAGCGTGCAAAGCCTGCGGCCTCGCCTAAAATTGTCGGCTTGGAAGAGGCAGGGTACGGGTGGTGTTCCTTCCCCCCCCCCTAGCGCTCCAACAATACTGTGTAATGGCTATTATTTAATTAAATACGGAGCTTATGAAAGTGGCGAAGGCGTGGCTAGCCGTTGGCAGGGGCAACCGCCGTCCAATGAAACTGCAGCCCTTGGCGAAGGCGTGGCTAGCCGTTGCCAGGTCCAATGAAAGCGGCGAAGGCGTGGCTAGCCGTTGCCAGGGGCAACCGCCGTCCAATGAAAGTGCGTATGGGCCAAAGTCCACACACACACACAGACAGACAGACATGAACGATTTTATATATATAGATTCAATTGACGCAGTAATGTGCGTTCTTCTCCTTTATAATAGATCACAAAACACAGTCTAAAGATATTCTAGATTTGAAGCTTTAGTGACTGCAAGGATTCATACTCTTAGTTCTTTCGGTAAAGTCACGTAGGTAAAAATAATACAAATAAAACAATAAAAATCACGACGTTTCGGAGGCAACACAAGCTTCCGTCATCGAAACGTCGTGATTTTTATTGTTTTATTTTTATTAATTTTACCTACGTGACTTTACCGAAAGAACTAAGAGTATAGTCTAAATATATCTCACTGTTGTTTTCGTTAGTTGGAATTCCACGCTATTTTTTTTACACTCGGGAGAGGAAAGGGGCACAGTTTAATGCAATGACTCTGCAATGACACGTTTTTCATGGAATACCGGCGACTTATTCCCGGCAGAGCGAGGCGGAGGAAATGAAATAATCACAACGTCAACAAAGCTGATCGGACATCGTAACCAGGAATAGAATTCCCCGCGGGATGTAAGTGTTCGTTCTTCCGCAGGGCATCTGTACAGAATAATGAGGGCGAGAGTCTGCGGCCAGCGCGTGAACACTTTTAAACGTGAACGATGTCGAGCCCGTGGCTCTGACGATGCACGGAAATCGTTGCTAGTTACGCGATGTTGCGTGGGATTGTGGGTAAATACGTAAATAATAAACACTCCAGGTGGTGAGATGTTGACTGCCTCGCGTGGTATGCAGAGGAGGTCGTGGGTTTTTATCCCAGCCCTGACGCCTGTATTGTTGGTACTCTTAGGTTTTTTCGGTAAAGTCACGTAGGTAAAAATTTTAATTAAAATTAATAAAAGTAATAGAAATAAAATCATTCTTAAATTAATAAAAGTAATAGAAATAAAATAATTAGTTTATTTCTATTGCTTTTATTAATTAATATATTTATATTACTTTTATTAATTTTAATTAAAAAAATTTATCTGCGTGACTTTACCGAAAAAACCTAAGAGTATGAATCCTTGCAGTCACGAAAGCTTCAAATCTAGAATGTATTGTTGGTGTTTGCATGTTTTCTCTCCCCGTGGTCACGTGGATTTTTCTCCGGCTCCTCCGATTTTTCCCTACACATGTGTAATCGATGTGCGTTTCGAGTGTTCGGCTGCTTTAAGGGGCCGTTCATAAATGATGTCACGCGGTTTTGGACAATTTTGAACCCCCCCCCCCTCGTCACACGGCGTCACAAAAAGTCAGACCCCCCCTCAAATATGACGTCACAAAGCTCTGCCCCCCGCCCCCCAAATAAAACATGCTTTAAATCGCTTGAAACTATTGTCATTGTAGTGCGTATTTAATGTGGCGTTGCACTCTGATGTTGTAGGAGAAAACATTTATTAAAAAATCTACTTAATTAAGTAGAACGTGTTGTCTATATGTATTTAAAGTTGCGCATTTTGATGTGACGTCACATTTCTCGTCACACATCGTCACAAATGTCTGACCCCCCACCTAGGTGCGTGACGTCATTGATGGACGGCCACTAAATTCCCACGTGACAAACCACTTCGTTGAACTATCATTTGCGGCCAGGTCGCTTCCGAAAATAAAGCTCTGAAGCTCAGTGGGCCTTACCTGGTAAAATAGAAATAAAACAAACCTTGGAGGTCCGATAGACACTCTAGCTTTCCAGCAGCATTTGTTTAAGCAGGCGAACTCTAGATCAGTTCCATCCTGCCGTCTCACCAGCAGTCGAGCTTTCAGAATAAATGCAGCCTTTTTCCCTTACTCACGATGCAAATAACACAACTCCACATGCCCCTTTGCCGATCCACCGCTGGATGAAGGCCTCTCCATGCTGTATCAGTCACGGTGGTCGTTTGACCTCACTTCACCATGGCAGTCAGCGCGAATTGCATGAAGGGAGAGTCCACGACCGGTTGAGATATCATTCAAGAGCCGAATGGCTCACAGGGCTATACCTAATAAATGAACTTTGAACTTCTCCACAGATGGGCTAAGAAATCACAACTGTAATCTAAGCGCAGTGCACAAACCACTGTGACACTTGCTCCACCCTTTCGCAACCTTACAATGGAGTGAAATGAGATCATGCTTTCCTTTGGCAGGAAGTTTCCACTGAGTCTGATTAATCTGTTTTTTGCTTATCCGATATCTGGTTAGGACAATTGCTCTTTGTGTTTTGTTCCCATTTTGTCTATCCAAGGCTATAACCCAGAGGAAATCACTGCAAAATGCAAAACGTAAGAGCAACAAGAATTTATTTGACATTATACAAATGGGTAAATGTTTAAATCTAGCAGTTCAGCAATGCCTTTTAATATTAGTCTTACAACAACATCAATGTTAATTTATATAGCGTTTACATTTAACTGCATTTTAACAATTGTGGACGAATTAGAAACACATACGCACTTCACTCAACTGCTACAAAAGCATTTACAAACCCCTGCGTTAATTTCCACAACGTTACAACTGCGCACATAATCTGCCACTGCTGTGACATCGTTCAGCAACAAAAGAAAATATCGCTACAAAGTGGCCCCTAAACCAAGAATCATCAACCCACGTTTTATGATTCTTTACTTGAATGCGTTACGTGAACACGAAATTTTAAAAAAAGTACAAATTTCTCTCGAAATTAACAGAGATCACGATGATGCACAGATGCATCGCGTCACCAATATATCACCCAAAGAGCCGGTGAATAACCGGTATAAACTTAGCCAAGTTGCGTGGCTAAAGACCACTCAAACCACCGATCCCTCCCTGCAGAGGTACCCTGGGACAAAATAAACTTCTTGAAGTGTCTGTAGTCCATCCAGGAAAGCCAGGGGACGTGTTTACAATCGCGTCAATTCGAAATGGCACTCCGAAGGATACTGCGCGTGGCGAAATCAGAGAAAGGAAATTGTGCGTGGCTTGTAAAATGTCACAATGTGTCTTTTGTCAGAGGGCCCACACGCACGCGCACACAAAGGGAATGAAAGTGGATACGAAATTAAATTTGTGTTCTGCCGACAGCCTGCCCCAGCGCGCCCGCATCACGACGCAGGGCGGTGTGTGTCGGTGGAGGAAGCGCTGTTGAAGATTTGCTTTGTGCGGTTTGCTACGATCGCTGTTCGTTTCAGGGTTTGATCCCTGCCTCCTGATGAGCAACACGTGTCGCGTAAACAATAAAAAAAAACTGAACTTGGTCTCGGACTCTCTTAGATCAACTCGGCATGAAATGCATGCTCCTGTGCAGTGTGTCAACGTCAGCAAAGAGGAGGCGGCATGAGCTCGTGTGGTGTCAGCCAGCAGTCACCTCTGGATGCCAAACCTGGCTCGAGCCGGTGCCCATTCACTGCGCTTGTCCCCTACGTCCTGTACCGCTGTAGGTAGTATATGTATCTTTCAACGGTACAACGTAACCATCGTAAATATATTCCCTAACGGCGGAAAGCATTACGAACCTGCCTTGGCTCTTAGTGGAAAACGACCAACCCACTCGCTTCAGACATCATCGGCAGCAGGCTTCGGGGGGACAGATTCCTAACGCTGGGTTAGCAGTGGCGGAGCGTGGATGCCATGGGCCTCGTGGCAAGGAATAAAAACGGGGGAGCCCTCCTGTCCAATCCCTCCTTCCCCCTCCCCGACTCACCGCAATCCGGCCACGCGGGCTCCTCCGGGCTCGCGGTGCAGTTGCGCCGGCCGCACTCTCGACGGCTTACTCAGCTGCCGGTCACCGCCCAAGCATGTGGTGTCTATGCTACCCAGGTCACGGTGGCCCGGCCGCAGCCCCCCCCCCCCCCCCCGGCCAGAACTGTGGACCGTCGCACGGGTGGGGGGCCCTCTAGTACTGGCAGATGAATGGCAGCATAACGCGACAGTCGAGGTCGTTCCAGCGGTGCTTGTATTTCGAGGTGGTGATGTGCACGCAGTCCTCGTTGGGGGTCTCGCCCGCGGGCTCGCCGGCGTAGAAGTTGCGCCAGGCGCCCTGCAGCGGAGAGCCGTCGACCCACGCGAAGGCGCCCTCCGCCGCCTTGTCGCTGAGCCCGATCCAGTAGGACGTGTCCTGTGTTTGCTTGATGTACCTGCAGCAGCGATAGCCATCGGCGTAATTTTGTAATAATCTAAACTCGAATTTTTTTATTTTATTTTACCAGGTAAGGCTCACTGTGCTAGACAAGAGCGACGTGGCTATCACTAACGATAGCTCAACGAAGTGGCTTATCGCGTGGAAATTGACGCCAGCCAAATACTCTGAACGCGCGTTGATTTTAAAAGTGGAGGTAAAGCCAGAGGACCCGGAGAAAAATCCACGCCACCACGGGGAGAGAGACGCGCAAACTCCAAATATACAACAAGCGTCAGGGTCGGGATCGAACCGACGACCCCCTGTATACCAGGCGAGGTAGTTAACATATCGCTACCCTGACGCACATCATCATCGTCGTCAACGCGATCGGCCGTGGTGCGGATCGCAGTCATTGTCATCATCAGCAGCGTCGTCGTTGTCATCGTAATCATCAACAGTCATCGTTATCGCGGGTGGCGATAGAATCAGCATTCACATTGCACTCCTTGAAAGTGCACCCTCTGAAGCCTTTAAAATTGGCGTCCATTTACTTCCAATTTGGAGCCTTAACGACACACGAAACGTGTGAGTGGTGAGTATCTGGTGAGGAGTGTCTGGTGAGTGTTTCAGGTTAAACAGTGAGCGTCATCCCGAGGTTCGCAGCAAGTCGAGAAAATCTCAACGTGAATTCCGGCTTGACTGCCAGCGCCCAATGTGAAGCTAATTATTTACCGTCACTGCGTTGACAGTGGGCAAACAAAAACTCCACACTGTTGTAACTTTCTGACCCCGTGCTCCTACTGGACTTCTGTAAAAAAAGACCTTAAAAATTCATCGGATTTTTACAGTCAAAATGAACCCGTTCCCGTTCCGATGACGAATGCAAGCTGCCCGGGTGTGAATCTGTAATCGGTGACGTTCTGAGTCGCCGCCCTGGGGGACGATTTTGGACCCCCCCCTCCCTCGTCACACGGCGTCACAAAAAGTCAGACCCCCCCCTCAAATATGACGTCACGAAGCTCTGCCCCCCCCCCCACCATATTTCCATTTTGAAAATAAAACATGCTTCAAATCGCTTTAAACGATTGTCATTGTAGTGCGTATTAACGTGGCGCTGCACCCTGATGTTGTAGGAGTGTTGTTATAACAATTAGTGTTGTTACAACAATTTTATATTGATTTAAAGCTGCGCATTTTGACGTGACGTCACATTTCTCACCCCCCCCCCCTGCCCTCGTCACACATCGTCACAAAAATCTGCCCCCCACCCCCCTCCCTAGGTGCGTGACCCCGTCCTCACCCGCTCAGGAAGCGCTGCGTCGCGGGGTCCTTGACCATGGCGAGGGCGCCGCGCCGGTTGGCGCAGAACTGCGCCGCGTCCGCGAAGCTCCTCCTCTGCTTGAGGAGCTCGAAGCAGTACATGCCGAACTTGCGCCCCCACTGACAGCGCAGGGGCAGCGCTGGCGGCCGCCACCGGTCACGAAAATAAAAAGAAAACCAGACAAATTGTATGCCAGAGAGCACCGCAGATGTTTCGAGTAAATTCTCAGCACGTTAAATTTCGATTTAAAGCTTTCGTGACTGCAGGGATTTATCTTCTTGGTTCTTTCGGTAAAGTCACGTAGAAGGGCAGTAATGAAATAATAAAAATAAAACATAATAAAATAATTCTCACGACGTTTCGGCCACAACGCAAGCAGGACGGCTGCTTGCGTTGTGGCCGAAAAGTCGTGAGAATTTTTTTTTTTTTATAATTTTATTACTTCCCTTCTACGTGACTTTACCGAAAGAACCAAGAAGAAGACTGAGCACGTTACCTCCCGGCGCGCACGAACTGCGCATTCCAGAAATAAAAACAATAATATCATTGTTGTTTGTTTTTATTATCATAACCGCTTGTTTACCCACGGAAGCCTCACCGAATCTCATGACTCTTTTTCTCAGGAGGGTCCTGCCAAGTTTTTACTAGGGGGTGTGTGTGTGATTAATGCTACGTGCAATCCCAATGGAGTAATTTTGCGGGTAATTTTTCAAACGTGGCAAATCTGGGCCACGACGGCCTGGACTTGTGCGTAACACCCCGGACCTTCACGGTCAACACAACCCGCAGCATTATCCAGGGCAGCCGCTGATTTAGAACCGTGCATTTCTGCAACAAAGCGGTCAACCACATCGTGGTCTTTGTCACCTCCAAATAGGAGCAATGGTCAAGCCCAGATAATATAAATTTACAGCCCTTTGTCAGCCCAAAATGAATACTCACTCTTTACCCCACCACAAAGGGGACCTGCCCACCTACGAACTACCCATTCACACCGCTGAGTGGACAGAAACGTCACGTTGAACTTCTTTCGCACCGTGAGCAGCCAACCGTGCTTATCGGAGATGCGTCGGGCGGGGACGGCGGTACCACAAACCGAACACAAAAATCGATTCTAAACAAATGAGTCTTCAATCGAGATTTTAAAAAATTAACCCGTAAAAACAAAGTTTTTCACTATAAATCCTTTATATGCGTGGCGGCTAGAGTCCTCTCGTCCTCTGGCTTGAGATGGCTGCCACCTATGGGTCAGATGATTGTCTGCCACCATTAAGCAATTGGTAATTAAATAAATAAACAAATACCTAAAAAGTGGAACATTTTGGGAGGAAAATTTTTCACGAAAACAAATTGTCACGCACAACGAGTCTGTGTGCAAAATGTCAGCTCGATTGGATCACGGGAAGTGGGTTAAAAAACTACCGAAAGATTTGCATGGTCGTAAGCGCGCAAGCAAGCAAGTGAACTTAATATAAAGGATTTAAAAAGCGCACGGCCCCAGCGGCTTCCTTCTCGCCGTCGTTTAAAAAAACTGCTGCATCGCGCAGATCTAACCGGCGTCGAATCCCCCTGGTGATGCGCCGCGCAAGGTAGCGGCCCCGTCGCACCTTCGAGTCTGTGCGCAATCGCGGACAACTGCTGGGCCCCCTCGTCCGCAGTCGAGACGTTCCCTTTGTTTTCTGCGCCCGTCATTGTCTTGAGCCTCAGCTCCAGAGCTTGCATGTGCTTCCTGCAGAACGTGACAGCGATTACTTTTGCCACAGACTTCTTCAGCGTGGGGAGGGAAAAGAAGGGGTGGGTGGGGGGGTGGCACCACAGCAGATGCAAAGCACAGATGTGACACGGCTATTAAATAGCCATTCCATTACGCAGCACATAGCGGAGAGTCTGTGCTCGGCCAAGGTGAGCCGTTTGTTTTGTGCACGCGAGGAGAGACAGCCCAAAACGTCAACAACGCCTGAGTACATTTTGGACGGCGCTCGCCTCTCTCACGATCCCCTTGGCAAAGGGCCCACGTTTGGCCGACGGCCGACCATTGTTCACTTGTTTTTGCATGCACGTTGAAATTCTTTCGCACCGTACGTAGCCAACCTTGCTGATCGGAGGTGCGGGGAAGTGGGGGAAGGATGACTAACTGAACACAAAAAGCAGTTTAATTTTTTTATTTGTGATATTCATTTTGTCAGCACCTAAGGGATAGTGCTCTCAATCTATAGGCCTTTGTCAATGCACTGCTGGATGAGAGCCTCCGCATGCCGTGGGGGTCCGTGGGGGTTGTTGGCCAGCGTGGTTTGTTGACGGTGGGGAGCACGGTAGGACCCCATGCAACGTCACTCGATATTTGCTTAGGACACCAAGGTCTCCAACTGTTACAGCCTCACGTCACGATACACTACACTATACACTACATTATACACTACAATTCTATACACTACACTACTATACACTACACTATACACTACACTACTATACACTACACTATACACTACACTATACACTACACTTCTATACACTACACTACTATATACTACACTATACACTACACTACTATACACTACACTATACACTACACTACTATATACTACACTATACACTACACTACTATACACTACACTATACACTACACTACTATATACTACACTACTATACACTGCACTACTATACACTACACTACTATACACTACACTATACACTACACTACTATACACTACACTATACACTACACTACTATACACTACACTATACACTACACTACTATACACTACTATACACTACACTATACACTACACTACTATACACTACTATACACTACACTATACACTACACTACTATACACTACACTATACACTACAATACACTACACTATATACTACACTATACACTACACTATGCACTACACTACTATACACTACACTATACACTACACTATATACTACACTATATACTACACTATACACTACACTATACACTACACTATATACTACACTACTATATACTACACTATACACTACACTATGCACTACACTACTATATACTACACTATACACTACACTACTATACACTACACTACTATACACTGTACTACTATACACTACACTACTATACACTACACTATACACTACACTATGCACTACACTACTATATACTACACTACTATACACTTCACTATACACTACACTATACACTACACTATACACTACACTACTATACACTACACTATACACTACACAACGCTGTGACAGCCTCACGTCGGTATCTCTGCTGTCGCCCCTCCCCCCTCGGTGTGGAATTCTCTATCCCTTGCACATCCAGAACATCAACTGCACTCGTGACTTTCAAGAGACATCGAAGGGCCTCTCTCGATCTGTGTTGGGTCTCACGACTCTTGAGCAGCCCTGAGCTTGGCTCCGCCCCTCTGAGTTGTTGACTTGTCCGCAAAAATCCGGCGCCTTACAAATATCATCATGATCATTGTTATTTTCCAGCAAAACCTCAGAGCCACTCATTTGAGGCTGAGTCAACCTAGGGGAGGCCCAAGACCGGTTCGGATAATCGCCACCGGTGTTGTTGGCCGCGCGAGCGGCTATCGAACTCGGGTCGTCGGGTTCGTAGCGCACGGTCACAAGCAATCCCTTGATAATTGTTTTTTTACCCTTTTATCTGACAACAAAACTGACACCTTTTTGTTTGCATTATGACTGCAGGTATTGTGGTCTATGCAAACTTGACTCCTTGTAAAAAAAAGCGTCAGTTTTGTTGCCAGATAAAAGGGTTAAAAAAAAATGTATCATATTTTTTACTGGCAAGTGAGGTTCCAATGGTGTAAAAGCCAGTCCCTTCTTTCCCGTCGGCAGAGCACCGACGGATCGTTCACTCCTCGTGACGAGCACACACACACAGAGACAGAGAGACAGAGAGAGAGCAGAAGACGTGCAGCTCCTCGACAACGCAACACAGCCGGAGCCGGCGAGCCAGTCCATCGACGGAGTCGACGGGGCCACGTCACCTGGTCGGTCCGCAATAAAGGTTTTATCAATATAAATGTGTCGTTAAACCCGTCACCACCCGACACGGGCAATTGGCCAATTGGCGTGGCGGGTTTAATGACACATTTATATATTTAAGCGATTTCACCCAAAACAAATCCGTACTACAGCCAATGATTAAGGTTTGTCACGTAAACAAAACGTGCCAACAATCAGTGACGACTTCAGCGCACCGCCTGTGTGCTGCAGAGTAAACCAGCAAACATTTACTAATTTGAGTACCCGTGACGTTTACGCTGGCGATGACCGCCACCTTCGCCGGGCGATCAGCCAGCATTGTGAAAGTAGTCCCTTTTGAAAAATGTTATTGTGGGTTTTTTCGCTTTAATTATTTGCAATTAATTATTTATACTTGTTATTTTATTTTTATTATTTTTATTTTAAATTTATTTTATCATTTGCTTATTTATTTTTTACCTACGTGACTTTACCGAAAGAAGCCAAGTTCCTCCTCGTTTCGGCCTCAAAATCGAGGTGACGGCGACGCCGCCACCGCGAGCCTGACCTCGTTTCGGCGATGGTCGCCAGCTGCTTGTCGGAGGCCTCGCGCAGCCGCAGCAGCGCCGCCGTGTTCCTGCGCTGCTCCTGGCCCATTCGCAGGTTCTCCTGGGCCAGAGAAGCCACGAGCACCCGCAGGTTCCCCAGCTCCGTCCGCCCGGCCTCCGGACCTGGTTGATTCGCACGAGGTGGACGGTGACCGCGCCGCATTCCCCACGCGTTCGACAGCCGCGTGAATCGAGGGTTGGCAGAGGTGGAGGGGGAGGTTGCTTTCCAGAGAGGTGACGAGGCAGGGACTAGGTGTGTGTGTGTTAAAGTCCTTTCGCACCGCACGTAGCCGGCGGTGGTCATCGGAGGTGCGGAGAGTTTGACGGGAGCCCCGAGGAAGGGTTGCAAGCCGTGCCAGAAAATTGGCACCTCCGTCTGGGTGGCAGGAATTGACCTGTGCCGGGATCTGGTGGTACTGCATTGAATTTTCATTATGGTAGAGCGCAGCGCAGTCTGTCAAGGTTCATGAACCATCATTACGCAAAACTCCGGTCATCCTTGCAGCAAGGCCTTTTGGCTAACCATCGAACAAAGACGGCCACTGCATCGCGCGCTCTCAGATGCGATTCTGCAACCGTCTGGAACGTTCTCTCTTTCCGATATTAGAAAGCCACTGGAGCTATGCACTTAGAATCGAAATTGAAAATAATTTCTTTAGAACTGATTTTTGTATTTAGTTTGTTGTCCTTCCCTCGCACCTCCGATTGGCACGGTTGGCTACGTACGGTACGAAAGAAGTTCAACACACATACAGACATACGAATCACCATGACGAAAAAATATGTCCGGTTTGGTCTGTGGATTAGGTGGCAACCCTGGGGCTGTTATAGTTTTGAGGCCCTTTTCTGGGTATTGAGTTACCTCCCGTGACCTTTTACCACCACCAATGCCCGATGCCACAAACTCCATTGGTTATTTATACGATTTATAGAGCCAAATCAAAGTTAAAATCAACCAAAGTATTCAATTTGATCTGCACACAACTGTATGAATACACGTAGGGATGCCATGACTTTAAATTGCCAAATCACCCAAAGGATTTTTCAGAGTGTAATAGTATTCCACTTCAAGCGTTACATATGAAAACCCGTGTGTTGATCTAACCCTGGTCCCTGGCAGGGCATCATTTGAGCTGGCTCGGTCCGGTCTGCCATCCAAACACTATCCAGATTCAGCCTTGCTTCGCTTCCAAGATCTGATGAGACCGGCTGCGTTCCAAGTGAATTAGCCGCAGGCTATATTCATCGCGAAGTAGGTGAATTATTATATTAGAAGCGGCATATTTAAATTCCATGGAAGCTCGAACTACAGGAGTGTAAAACAAACACGCTACGTTTTTTTTTGTTAGATCGCGTAAATATGAATGCTTCGCTAAACACACCACCACACGACACAGACAATGATTAAGGTCTTGTCACTTAAATATAACCTGCCAATTTGTTACGAGTTCAGCACACCGGTGTGTTGGAGAGTAAACCAACACCATTTACTATGTGGGTGTACTCTCCAACACACCGTTGTGCTGTACTAATAAGGAATTGGCATGTTTTGTTTACGTGACAAACCTTACTAATTGGCTGTGTCGGGTGGTGGCGGGTTTAACGACACATTGATATTTACGCGATCTAACCCAAATAACCCACCTCTATTATGGATAATATTGGTCGAGAAAGCCTACCACGTGTGTAACTGAGAATTCCCGTTATCTCGCTCTCCTCTTGGGCATGAAGGCCGATTAAACACTTTCATCCAGATGCCAGCCCCCTCCCACCCACCGCACCGCCAAAAGGAATAACGCCAAACCCTGCCTCCTGCGAGAAGTCCCAAACGCACAACGTGAACGCAACCGTGTGCAAGTAACAACAACAAACCCCCCGTAAAATCTGTCGATGATCTACTTTGTCAATGAACTCATCGTTAACGTTATCTGCGCGAGCAGAGCCACCGCTTCCGATTGAATGTTCACGCAGACCCAGCTCCCTCCCTCGCTCCCTCGCCCACCTGCTCCCGCAAGCTCCATCGCCCTCCTCCAGCGCCGTATAGACCCGACACGCAGCTCCTTCGCCTCCCCGCCGCTGCGATCCGCGCCTCCACGCAAGGTGCTGCTGCCGCTTCTGCTGCCGATGTCGCTGCTGCTGCTGATGCTGGTGCTGGTGCCGATGGTGGTGGCGATCGAGGTGACCGCGTGGCTCACCCTGGAGAGGTGGCTCACAAGAGACTCGTCGTGGCTCAGGCGTTGCTGCTGATCGAGGGACGTCGTCGCCGCACCGTCAGCCGCTCTCCAGCCCGGCTGGGAAGCGCAGCTGCAGAGGCTCGTGATGAAGAAGACCACGGGGCTGTACCGGGACACCATCGCTATCTGTCTGAACCGTGTGCGCAAAAACTCTCCGAGCTGAGGCTCCCTTAGAGCGAGCGACTGTATTGTCGGCGTGTTTATTTACTCTCACGGTGTGCGCTCGTGTGTTCGTGTCCTGGCTTTCGAACTGCACGGCACTTGCCTCCAGCAAACCCAAGAAAGCCGACGCTGGGACTATGCCTCTGTCTGGACGAGCGAGTGAGTGAGTGGCGTCCCCTTCCAACCCACCTCCACGTATGACGCCGAGATCATTGCTTCTGCTTTTTTGATTCGGTGTGGGAGGGGGTGTCTTGAGCGACCCTTGATGTTGCTCCTTAAATACGCCCGCTTGCCTCTGTGTGTCTTGAGTGTGCGGGAGGTGGTAGGGTGGGTGGGGGCGGGTGGGCGGGTGGTTCGGGGGGGGGGGATCACAGGCGCGGGTTGCAGGGAGGAAAATCTTGGCACGGGAGTGCGAATTAAATCAGCGTTCAGCCCTCGGCAGGCAACACTTTACACGAGCCCGGCACACGCGCGCGTACGATAAGCACACGCGACAGCTCCCTCGCCTCCGTGGCGTGGTATATAGAGATTATATTGGATGTTCCATGCGCATGTTGGCAGCACTGTGGTGCAGGAGAGCCAGATCAGGGGTCGACAAACCTGCGGCTACAACAGAGAGTCGGATAACATAACAGTCAACACCCTACCTGGTTGATTACGTTCTTCCTGAGAATGCTAAATTTGAGAGAGAGATAAAACACAGAGCCAGAGACATATAGACAGACATATAAGCAGATGAACCTGGCTACGCGGGTTCGATTCTCGCTCACGGCCAACACCAGTGGCGATTATCTGAACCGGTCCTGGGCCTCCCTTAGGTCGACTCAGCCTGAAGTTAGTACCTGGTGCGGTGTAAAATAAAATTGGTTTTACCCTGTTATGGCAATAAAACAGGAGGTTTTATTTTTTTATTTAAAGCTTTTTTTTCTCTTCAAATGTGCTTGCTGTGGATTTCACACCTGATGACGATTGCTTGTGTTGCAGTCGAAACGTCGTGAGAATTTTTATTGTTTTATATTTGTATTATTTTATTATTTCCCTTCTACGTGACTTTACCGAAAGAACCAATAATATGAAAACAGGAGGTGTTAAGATGTTCAAACACCATTTTCAAGGGATCAAGTAGTGCATTAACCACACGCACTTGTGGTGAACATGCAAAAAAACGTGATCTGATCATATATGATGCTTTGTCTTTGAAACTGATTGGCATACACCAGAGACCTTCTTTATGACCTAGTTTCACCATTGTCAGACGAGATGCGAACAGTAGTACAAAGATACTGCACGTATCAGAGCGTTTATAGCTCGGGGTGAGCAGCTACATCACGAGAGAGTCCGCGTGTCGTTCCTCCTCCTGCGTTGAAGGAGCGAAGACTGACAGTGGTTTAAGATATGGGTCCATAGCTTGGGTTGCGTGGCCACGATCGCACGACGGAGCTTGTCTTTGAGTTTCCATCGACGGAGGAGAAGTGAGCAACGGCCTATCGATGCCCTTGATGATGTCGAGAGTTACGCGAGCGTTTGCGTCAACGTTGAAAGTGCCTCTCAACCAAACGGCGTGGGCACCCTGGAAATGTCACAAATCCTCCGTCCTTTATTAGGACCGCCACTGGAGGTCACGAACTATTAAATCTCGATTGCAAACCCAATACTTTGGTTGCGAAAGAAGTGCATAGCTTCGGCGGCTTCCTCACATCGCAAGGAAGAGCGTTCCAGACCACGTTACGTTCGTTAACATTATTCTCTCCAGAGATATAACTTTATAGTTGCACGCGTTTGCTTGTGCAGCGTCGGAAATACAGATCACATACCGTCCTATGTATACTTACTTGTAGTTGCGGGCAGGGGTCTGTGGGGGGTGCCACCCTGAGCTAGAGAGAGAGACGGACCGTTGAGAGGCCGAGTTCCCCCCCCCCGACCCCAGGTGAGGGGCTGGGGGGTTATTCCAGAGCCCCGTGGAAGGTTCCAGAAAGGGGGCGGTATCGCGGGCGGAGAGTCCCCGAGGTGGATATAAAAGACGGACCCCAGCACGGCTCGGGGGAGTGCTCTGAAGACGAAGACAGAAGGCCAGCTAGGCTAGAACCCTGAAGCCCGACGTCTTTTTAAGGAACGGGGCTGAGCACGGGCCAGTGGTCGAGACCCGCACCTTGGCTCAGTCGGGTCAGTATAGCCTCCCCTAGGTCACCCTTAGCCGGAGGACTCAGGGCCCGTAGCCCCAGTGATAGGGCACGTCAGTCCGGAGGCCATACCTCCCAGCAGAGGTCGCAAACGGGTTTTGATTCCTAACCCGTACCCGGCCGCACCAGGGTCGCAAACGGATACCCGATACCCGTACCCTACCCGATACCCGGCTACCCGTACCCGGCCGGGTATCGGATAGGGTACGGGTATCGGGTACCCGATTGCGACCTCTGGGATGAAGCCATGTTGTAGGCGCGGGTGGGTTGATTCTAGGAACTTGAATTGTGAGAAGAGACAAGACGTTGGGAAATGAGTGACAAACGGTGACTCACCAGTGACTCACGGCCTACCCGTACCCGGCCGCACCAGGGTCGCAAACGGCTACCCGTACCCGGCTGGGTACGGGAAGCCGGGTATCGGGTAGGGTACGGGTATCGGGTACCCGGTTGCGACCTCTGCTCCCCAGGTAGTTGGAGTAAAGGGGCTTTCTGTTATGAGATTCAAATAAACCGTGTTGCCTCTAAAGCTACGTCTCCGGTCTCCGTGGGAACCCACTCCACTGGCAAACGACGAATTCTATAACACAGCAGCAGCAACAGCAGCGACGAACGTTCCACGCGTCATTTCACTTTATACCACCGTCTAAAGCGATGCGTTATATATATTTTCCCGGTGGAATAGGTGCTCGCAAATAATAAAACATGCGCGTGCCACTCTTCAGTGGACAACATTCAAAATGACACTCGTTTGTGAATTAGCAACCCTACCCCGCCTCCGGCTCCCCCCAGCACTCTCCCTGGCAGTTGAGCTCCATCTGCCGTCCGTGTGTGCGTGGTGTAGCGATCCACTCGGGTCCTGAGGAGGAACGAGGGCTCACGCTGCCACCGCGGTTAGGGAGGCTGCACTGGCTGGGGAATGGTAAGCGCGCCCACAAGGGGGTCGGGCAACCTTGCTTCTCCGCAGCAGCGTTTCGTGACTTTTTTTTTGTTTACGAAGGACCACCACCGTCTGCTATTCACGTCGCATTGCGGGTTCTTGAAATATTGATGGGATTTTTTTTTCAGAATTCGAGAAAAAAGACTGGGTGTTTAAGGTTAGCGATTTGTCGTATTATCTGGCTGTATAGCAAATGGAAAAATACAATTACTTTACAAAGCAAGTTAAATTTGCATTTTATTTTTGTTTATATTTAGGGCCCCTTTATAACATATGCTACAGGCCCCGTACTTAGTTTAATCCGCCACTGCTCAAGAATGATGTTGATTACCCTTTGAATAACCCATCCGGTAATATGTACCAATTGTCATTTATGTGCAGACATTAACCCCCATCTCTTCCCTCTGCCTTCTTACCTGATTGGTTCACAAATGACGACATCAGATGTACCCCTCTAAGACCGAAGGAGGAGGAAGATTTCTCCACAACTCTGTCCGTCCGCCTACTGACGCGAGTTATAATTACTGGCGAAACGTCGGACTCGGATTATACATTTTGTTTGGTTTACTCTCCACCACACCGGTGTGCTGAACTAGTAACAAAAACCGGCACGCTTTGTTGACGTGACAAACCTTACTAATTGGCTGTCGGGTGGTGGCGGGTTTAATGAAACATTTATATTTACGCGATCTGTCTCGAAAACCTCAATTATGGATCAAGGGGGGACGGGATGCGTACGGATGACGCATTTACAGTCAAGAAGATGTCGGGATGCAGAGCAATGCTAGATTTGCGATTACTAAAACCAACTCCAGTGGAAAAACACGTTCCTTCGGAGTGGGCAGGTAGGAACTTGGTTTGACAGCGCATTCGTGCACAACAGACAAATATGCACGACGGACAAATAATCCCTGGTGGGCAGTGTGGAACCTGTTGTTCCTACCTGTGTACAAGATCACTTGACTTGAGGGAGCCAGGCAGCCAGCCAGGTAGCCAGCCCCCTTCACTATCGGCCCCTCCCCCTTGCTTAGGCCCCTCCCCTTACCCCCCTCCCTTAGGCCCCTCCCCTGACCCCCCCCCCCTCCCTCAGGCCCCTCCGCTGACCCCCCCTCCCTTGGGCCCCTCCCCTGACCCTCCTCTCATAGGCACCTCCCCTTTCCGTACCCGGCAGTAGGTCTCCACCAATCAAAGAGCTGTTTATATTATATATTTATGCACGACAGACAGACAAAAAATCCCCGGTGGGCAGTGTGGAACATTGTTCCTACCTGTATAACGTTCGACATTCGAGCCTTGCATAAGAGCCACCGGCTTTGTGTTGTTTGTGCAGCAGTTGCTGCTGCTGCTGCTGCTGCAGGGGACCTTTGGAACGCCTACCCCATGCAAATGTAACGACGTGCAATTCTGCTCATTTTTTTTATTCAATAGTTTATTGACTCAACAACAGAATCAATATGTACGGTGGGGGGCGGAGAGGGAGGGGGACGAAAGGGGAAGAGGGAGCGGTGACTATGTGTGTGTCCATATATTATCATGCTCGTTAACACAGGAAAGCGGAAAACCTAGCCGAGTCTTCACTCTGTTTCAGAGTCGTGCTAAGTTGCGCAACAGGGGGCGGTGTTGCGACGTGTAAACACGAACGAATACTTTTCCTGATATGTTTTCACAATTTGGAATGTTTGACCAAATACAAGTTACATTGCATGGGGTTTCTATGTTATGGGAGGAAGTCGCAGAACCCGGAGAAAACCCCAAGCAGAATAGTGGCCGAGCATAGCGAACTCCACACAGAAAGGCACCCAAGTCAGGGATTTAATCCAGAAACATTTTTGCGATGAGGCACAACGGTGACCATTGCACCACCCCTTGGAGGGGCTGTTGGGGACGCAGGTGGAAGGGGTGTTATGGGAGTGTAGGTAGATCACATGTTGGGAGTCGAAATGGAGGTGTGAACTACTCGCGAGATATTTGCTTTGCAAATTAATTCCGATACATTCTGCAGATGTTACTTCTTCTTCTTCTTACCCTTTCCCTTTTTGCCTTTTTTACCCTTGCCCTTCGCCTTGCCCTTAGCCTTGCCCTTGCCACCCGCCTCCTCCTCGTCCCCCCTGGCGAGCTTGGCTCTCTTCTTGCCGAGCGGCGTCTTCGCGTACCACGACTGTGGATGACAGGGGTACAACGCAGCAACGTGACGGCGTGTGTATCAGTCAGACGCCACCTTTACTTTCGCCCCAGCATGTTGGGCCTTTCACTCGGAACTGCGGGCAAAAGCGTCCAATTGGCACTCAGAAGGTCGTGCGCGTCGGTGCGTTCACGTGGGTGCCTCGTGCGACGTGTCAACATCGCCAGTCGGGAAAAAAGAAGACACACGGGGAGACAAAAGTGGCCGAGCATGGTGTTTGGCCACCCACTCCGCCGTGTGCCACACGTGAGCGCAAACAGCGCTTGCCCCAAAAGTCTGTTAAGGATAGACGGAGGATATTTATCTTTGTACTGGTAGGAACCGCCAGGTTACACCAGCCCACAGGGGATTATTGTGTCGGTCCGTCCGTCGTGCAGGGAGGGGCTGGGTGGGGAGGGAGGGGCTGGGTGGGGAAGTGCTCGGTGGGGAGGGTGGGGCTGGGTGGGGAGGGGCTGGGTGGGGAGGGTGGGGCTGGGTGGGGAGGGGCTGGTCACCCCGTGATGCCCTTATAAAACTCAACGTTTAACCTACTCACGCCGGCTTGTGCCCGCCCTCACAGTCGGGCATATTTACGGAATACACCACGCCGCCGTTGACCCTGGCCATTGACCGAGCAACCCAACGTTCCTACCAGCTCCCTCCGCAGGAATGTATATATACACACACACACGTGGGGAGCGGTAGCATCGTGGTTAGTGAGCTGCGCTACGAACCCGGCGACCCATGTTCGATTCTTAATCATGGCCAACGCCGGTGACGATTATCTGAACCGGTCCCGGGCCTCTCCTAGGTTGACTCAGCCTCAGATGAATACCTGGTGCGCCTAGTAAACATCGCCACTTGGAAAACAAAGGCGGGCGGGCGGGCGTGGTGCTGGCAACCCACCCCCTCGTGTACCGTAACGGCCTTCATAGGTGCTACTCGCTAACAGCACTTGCCCCAACAGTCTGTTAAGGATAGACGGGGAATCACTTCTTTCAAGGGCATTCCTGCCAATCTGCCACTGCTGAAGCAAGTAGACGATCTACAAATCGTTTTTTATTATTATTCTGTATATGAGTCATATGCTGTTGTAATCTGTGCAATGTCTCGATTTAAAGCTTTCGTGACTGCAGGGATTCATCCTCTTGGTTATTTCGGTAAAGTCACGTAGAAGGGAAGTAATAAAATAATAAAAATAAAACATAATAAAATAAAATAATTCTCTACGTGACTTTACTGTGCAATGTCATGGTGATTGTTATGGTTACTAGTGTTACTTCGAATTTGTTGTTTGCACAGGAAAACTATTTTACCAAAGGCGTTTCTATTCCTCGTTTTGCAATATTCTATCGAATCTTATTCCTCACTCGAGATGCACTATTTTGCAATGTTTCTCTAATTTTAATGTTCAGTTTAGTTAAATATTTAATTAACAATTAAGTAATATATTGTAAAAAAAAAAATAGTTGACTTTTTTATTGCTGTATTTATTCTATCTATCATTTTAATGCGACCTGTTGCAAACGTGGTGTTTTTTATCTCAATTTTTCTGTTTTGTTTATGAAACCCGATTCAAGATGCTGCTTCTTAGCTCACAGGGCATTTCAAAATAAACTGTTCAACCTCCTCCTCCGTCTCCTAATGCAGGTCGGGGGTGGGGGGGGAGGTGGGGGGCAGTGTTGAGTGCAAAGGGGGGTGGGGGTCAAACGGAGATGTCATCACCTTGAAGGCTTCCTCCTCCTCCAGGAAGACGGGGTCAATGCGCGACAGCGACCCGATGAATTCACCCGCCGTCAGGGGCCGCTTGGCCAACTGCTGCACACGCCGTTCGCTCAGCACAGCCTGCGCCGCCTGCACCATCTGCCCCTGCGTGTAGCCGTCGGTCACCTTGGCCAGAGAACTGAGGTCGAGCGTCGGTGTCACCGCACCCCAGCTCGTCGCGAGCAGATGGCGCCAGAGCACTGCGATGCAAACACGCGAGCGGGGCACGAGGCTTTTGTGTGTCTGTTGTTATTTTTTTTTTCAACTGCATGATGACAAATGCAGTTTTCCATCTGCTGAGTATGTTGCGTGTGTGCTGGGAGCGCTGGTGTAGTAGCGGTTAGGGCGCTGCGAAGCCCGGGTTCGATTCCCGCTCACGGCCAACACCGGTGACGATTATCTGAACCGATCCTGGGCCTCTCCTAGGTCGACTCAGCCTCAAATGAGTACCTGGTGTAGTGTGTAAACATTGGCACTGGGGAGACAAAGGTGGTCGGGTGTGGTGATGGCCACCCACCCTCTCTTGTACCGTACCAGCCTTTATTGGTGCTCCGTTTACAGCACTTGCCCCAACAGTCTAAGGACGGCTATACGGGGGATCTTTGTCTTTGTGCTCAAATAAAAAAAGCCCCTTCCGTTGTGGTGCAGTGCTGATTAGTGTTGGTGGCTCTGAGCCAGTGGTGAAAATTCCGCAGTTCTATGCTGGGGTCCAGTACTTCAAACAATAAATACACGACTAAGCATTACTGTATACCGTGAATGTGTTCCGAGTTCGTTTCTTTAAAAAAATAAAACATACAAACCGAATTCTGTGTATGCATATTAGTTTCAAGCCACGTGATAAAACATTTTCGTTGGCTAAACGTTCAAAAAGGGGGCTTCCTACTAAGTTTGGGGATTGTTTTAGGGTTAAACTAATATTATCACCTGGATTATTATTTTATTTTTACGATCGTCCAGCTTGCGTTTGATACCGAAGCGAGAGGCATAGTCTGGGCGTGGGATGAGCACGATCTTCTGGTAAAGCTTGCAGAAGGACTTCTGGTCGGCCAGGAAGGGCTGACGGGACGTCCCCACCAGCATCACACGGTCCTCGGCTGTCAAGAGCTTCAGCATCTTGGGCAGATCTTTCTTGAGTCGCTTGGGTTCCAGCTGTCGGACAAAGATGAGAAGCTGTTGCGGTAAAACAACAACAACAAAACAGGCACGAAAAACTGCGCAAATGTCGTGAATCTTGAAACCCCCTTAGGAATCGAAACAGGATAGGGTGGCGACACTCACTTTCTTGTCACCTTTGGGAACTTTCTTGTAGAAAGTCTTCTCGGCATCTTCAATCAACACTACGGACGGTTGAAGTAAGCGTGCTACCTGCAAGAAGAAGAATAATTGAGTGCGGCGGTGTTGGAAAGGGCACTTGCAAGATAACCAACCTGAACCGAGGGCATTTGCTCATGCATGATTGTATATGTTGTAAAATGCACAACCGGTGATAAACAGATCAAATGTATTGTTTAATGTCCTACTCTCAGGCTAAATTCCAGGAAATCCAGGAATTTAGCCTGAGAGACTTGCATTGAGGGCTTCTCAACCACTCATCACCGCTCATCATTCAGCCAGCAAACTCTAACAGTATCCAATGTGAAACCTATTTACATTCTCAGTTTCTAACAGCACGTTTTGTAATGTATGCATGTTGGACTTCTTTCGCACGGTACGTAAACAACCGTGCTAATTTAGAATACACCAAAGCAACTTGTAACTTTCTGACCCACCCATCCTGGGCATCTGTGAAAAAAAGAGCTTCATAGCTCATCGGATTCCTCCAGTCAAAATAAATATTCTGATTATGAACTCATCACTATAGGTACGCACCTTTAAAACCATGTGTATCAGCATTTGGAGGCCGCTCTTGCTCGGGTACTTGTCCACAATGGTCTTGGCAGAAAGGTCAAACAAGTTGGCTCCAGTTTCGGTACAAATCGCATTTACCAGCGTGCGTTTGCCAACCCCGTTTGGACCCGTCAAGAGCATCGACTTCACAAGTGGCGCCTTTTCATGGACGGCCTGGGAGCCTGCACACAACAAACCACCAAGCACAAGCTTCAGTACATCAGAATCAGAATATTAATACGGGAGGGGACCGGACGGTCAAAGACAACAGATCTCCCTTATCGCCTTAACAGACTTTTAGGGCAAGTGCTGTAAGCGGAGCACCAATAAAGGCCAGCACGGTACAAGAGAGAGTGGCCAGCCATCACCACACCCGACAGTCTTTGTCTCCCCAGTGGCGATGTTCACACACCGCACCAGGTACTCATCTGAGGCTGAGTCGACCTAGGCAAGGCCCAGGACCGGTTCAGATAATCGCCACCAGCGTTGGCCGTGATTAAGAATCTAACATGGATTGCCGGATTCATAGCGCAGCTCATTTGAGGATGAGTTGATGCCCAGGACAGGTCCAGATAATCGTCACCGATGTTGGTCGTGAGCGGAAATCGAACTCGGGTCGCCGGGTTCGTAACGGAGTGTGCTAATCGCTACACCGTCGCTCCCCACGTGCAGCAGTGGAGCTTCCCGAATGGAAATGTATAGACAGACGAAGATCCCCCACTCAGGCTTATACTGCAGACTGCATTGGCACATGGCCGTTAGCACTTGCTAAGACCGGCATGGTGTTTAGCAAATGTCACGGCTGTCTTTGTCTCCTCAGTGCCAATGTATTTTAGAATCTACATCGATTGTTGATCCTGAAGCGATTTGTAACAATGACCGGAAAATGTAAACTACAATGCAGCAGCATTCAAATTAAATCTCTCTTAATTGTTTTGGCCTTCTCCACCATGGGAGATGGGAATCAGAATGAAGTCAAAGTTTTTTCATTTGTCCAAGTGTAGGCGTTTTTTTTTTATCCCAGCCCAGTTTGTGATGTGGAAATAAAAGAGTCCAAGGAAAACATCCTCTACGTTTCATATTTGGGCAGATTTTGAACAAAACCAGCCAAAACTTTGACTCACTTAGTGAAGAATATGTCACATTCGGAAAGTATACGTGCTAAATCTACCAAACTGTAAAAAAACTAAATAATTTAAACTTTAGTATTTGAGCCAATAACTATAACATTTATATATTAACATAAATCATGTTTTTTCCCTACCCATAAACACCTCAGGACCGTTTTCACAGATTTCACGCTAAAATCTTAAAATAAGATTTTTTACATGACAAAAGTACGACACGTGATGAAAAGTGAATACGTATAACATTTCATTCTTTCATAAAAAAAATAATCACCATTTTCCACAAAAGCGGCCAAAAACTCTTTAACTTTTTATGAATAAACATTTTTTTATTGACCCTGGAGGGCTGGTGGACTGAAAGATTTAAAGTAATTTATTAATGGATTTAACTCCTTGGCCATAGTGAAAAAAAATACACATTTTCAGTAAGAAAAAAAAGTGCAATTGTAGTTGCTGCTCTGCATCTACATCAGCAATACGAAAGAAGACTAGTTTAGGAAACCTAGAGGCAGGATGGCGTAGAGTGCTACAAGCTGTCGGACGTCAGACAAGGAGGGCATGGGTTCGATGTCCGCTTGCCGCAGAGTGGTTCCCAGGTAGCTGTATTCGCCTGCAGAGAGAGGAGATCAACAGTCGTGGTAAGCCGAGCTTTCCCCGGTGAAATTAGACACGCGGCTATGAGAAACAATTTTAACGCTTAGGCTTTCGCGACGAATGTTAAGTTTCTTAATTGATTTCTGGTTAAGATCGCGTGAGTGCAATTGCCGATGTGTGTCGTATACCCTCATCCACCACAGCCGAATGAATAAAGTTGTAATTGCCACGAACAAATGTGCCAAGTTTAATTGCGTCAGCACACCGGTGTGTTGAAGAGCAATCGACGACACTGAAACAATTTGGTACGACGTTTCATTGGTTATTACAACCAGCATATATCAGAATTCAATCCCCGTAGAATTGAACACTGCAAGAGTTCAATCGTCTTTGGTTCTTTCGGTAAAGTCACGTAACTTTACCGAAAAAACCAAAGAGTATGGATTCCTGCAGTCACGAAAGCTTCAAATCAAGATTGAGTTCAATCCTGCTCGTCGTCTGATGATGCTGGTTGTATCTTCTTGGTTCTTTCAGTAAAGTCACGTAGAAGGGAGGTAATAAAATAATAAAAATAAAACATAATAAAATATATTATATTATTTTATTATATTATTATATTATTTTATTATTTTATTTTATTATGTTTTATTTTTATTATTTTATTACTTCCCTTCTACGTGACTTTACCGAAAGAACCAAGAAGATGAATCCCTGCAGTCACGAAAGCTTTAAATCGAAAAATGCTGGTTGTAATTACCAGCGATTTGTCATACCCAATTGTTAAATGTTGTGGATTGCTCTTAAGCATACTGGTGTACTGAAGCCATCAAAATTTGCGTGTTTGTTCACATGACATGTATTGTTGTGTATGATACACATGGGCATTGTACTCATGAGATTTGACCCAAACATCAATTATGAATGTTTAAATGTTGTCGGGTGGTAGAGAGTGTATGATACACATGGGCATTGTACTCACGAGATTTGACCCAAACATCAATTATGAATGTTTAAATGTTGCAGATGTTGTTGGTCTCTCAGACAAATCTAATTGTTGCGAGTGAAAATTGAGTTAGATTAGAGTGCGGTTGGGGACTAAGACAACACACTCAACCACGTGATAATTTGAGAAGAGAATTACCAAAGCAGATCATGTTAAAGACCCTTCATCATCCATAACACAGGTTTTTTGGGTTAGATCGTGTCAGTTTGGACACTGTAAGCCAAATAGGATCAAATATCAATCTTGAATTTACTCATACATGAACCAGAAGTAAATGTCTCCACATAAATAACGTGGCAGGTATGTTAGAAACATATAGAAAATACCATTGGGCAAGTGCCTGGATTTTCTGGCTTCTTCTTGCGTTCATTGTTAACATGACTTAGCCAAATAATCAGTTCTTACCCAAAAAGTCAGACAGCTGCACTTTGGGTGGGCGGATCAGAATTCCCTGCAAGACCAGCTCCTCAAACAACGACTCTATGGTCCTGCGACACACACACACACACAGACGAGACGTTAACACGTGGGTGTTTTGGTTAAAAAGTTAAACAATGGAGACATGTTGTGAACATAAGGGCACGCACAGTCTGCGTGTGTTAGAACAAACATGTGACCTGCAGGAAAAGTAGGCAAATTGATGAGAGTGGCATCCTCTTAATTGCTCGGGCCCACCCAATGCCATGACATTAGCAGAGGCTTTACACTAACCCGGACCACAACACATTCTTTATGCCCAATGAAGGCCCCGTTGAAAGCGCTCTGAGACACTCCGATGTATGCAGTGTTGTATGAAAAAAACTAATCATTACTATCGTTATTTATTATTACAGACTTTCCAGCTTGTCAAGTTTCCACATGCATACTGCAGTGACGCGCGGTGAGGTCAATGGCTGGGGAGGCACTGGCTAGTGTCAGAGCCAGATTCACACACTGAGGGAGGCGTGGCCTCACGGAGGGGGGCGTAACCTCGTGGAGGGGGCGTGTCCTCACTGATGGGGGCGTGTCCTCACTGATGGGGGCGTGGCCTCACTGAGGGGGGCGTGTTAGACACGCCCCCCTCAGTGAGGCAGATGTGATAGCTGCCTCCCCTGGTGCTTTTTCATTGCAGTTTCATGACGAGACCAGCGAGTCTAAATATCTTTATACACATACGTGAAATAAGTTTTCTGGAGTATGGAAGGCGAGGACATGAAATTAAGCGGTCTACAAACATTACATTGGTGACATACTGAGATAGTAACAGGCACGCGCTTATTGCCCGCGCTCCATCCAGTTTCTGAGGGGTTGCGCAATCAGAGGGGAGGCTGAGCTCGTCGCTGCCTCACCTCTCGTCTCTTCCTGTATTTGCCGCGGAGCTCCGCAAATTTGGCGATTTTGACTATAAAATGTTGGAATCGTACAGAAATAACAATTATAACACAGATCAGTAGAAAAATCTTCATATTTATTTTATTTGATTATTCTTTTTTTTTACTTTTTGTAACAGCGTATGGTAGGTGAGGCTCTGCTTTCCCTGCCTCCCCTGACCGCACGTCCCTGTTGTACTGCACCTGTCAGGTGTCAGGTCCTTTTCTTTCTTCTTCTTCTTCTTACCGCCCTTTTTATTCTTTTTCTAAAAAAATAAAAAATATTTATCTCGACGATGATTCCCAAGTCGAGATTTACGTGTTTTGTTTCTCTGTTCCAAGAGGCATTCGGTGTCTGAATTTTGAACCTAGCACTTTTGCCATTGACATTCATTAATCCGTGTACACTTAAAAGGGCCATTTGCCCTAAATGTCATAGTGTTTATTTGACAAATGTGTGAATTTAAGAATAGGGTTTTTCCCCTTTTTTCTGGCAACAAAACTGAAACCTTTTTACAAGGATTCATGTCTGCATTGACCACAATACTTGCAGTCAAAATGCCAACAAAAAACACACTATGATAATATATGCATTGTCCTTAAAACTGATTGGTCTACACTAGGGACGGCTTTCTTTTGAACCTCGATCCAATTGGTGCTCGACCAGACGACGTCAAAAGGCGTCCACAGCTCAAACACAATGCACTATCAGAGCAATGATAAAAATGTGTGAATTTTTTTTATAATATAGGTTTTTGGGTCAGATCGCGTTATTTATAAATGTGTCGTAACCCTCCACCACCCGACACGGCCAAACAGTAAAAAATGTGTCACGTTTGTCAAAGGACAAAATAATTCACTGCTTTAGCCCACCGGTGTGCTGAAGAGAGAATCAACAGCATTTTAAAATTTGAGTAGTACGACGTTTCGCTGATAATTACAATCAGCTTCATCGGGCAAGAATGGTGAAGCTCTCCTGTTGCTTCCGGTCTTAAATAGAGCAGCATCAGGGTGACGTCATCAATTAATTCAATTCAATCTGGTGCAGTGATTCGAGGCAAAGAGGGGGAGGGTTTTGTAATGATATAGATTTGACACTTTGGTTGTCTGGCCACATGGTAAAGTTGCACTTAATAATTTTCTAAATCATCTCAATGCACAAAACCCGGCTATCCAGTTCACCATGGAAATGGAGGTAAATAACAGACTCCCGTTCCTAGATATTTTGCTGGGACATGGCCTTAATGGCAAAATAACACACAGCGTTTGGCCGTGTCGGGTGGTGGAGGGTTACGACACATTTATAAATAACGCGATCTCACCCAAAAACCTATATTATGAATAATATTGGTCGCGAAAGCCTACGTGTAAAATGTTATTGTTTTTAGTTGCAGTAATTGATCCGCTTTGTTTGCAAGGCTACCTTCGTTCCACCTTTCTTCTTCTTTCCTTTTTTGCCACGGTCTTTTTCCACAACGAGTTTCAGGTTCCTGAGCTCTTCTCGCATCAACTCATCCACCTTGGGGACAACAAAAGTAAAAAATCATCATCGCTTGCTGAGAAAGATGGCTCCAGAAGGGCTTGTCTTACTTCGTACGGCGATAGGTGTTTTAAAAACTTGGGGGGGGGGGGGGGAGGATATAAATAGGATGCAAAATATTGCTACTGTTGTCATTCTGACTTAAAAAAAGGGTCTTGCCATATTATACACATGTTATTTGCAATAAACCTTACCGTGTAATTAGGATACTGAATTTTACCTTTGATTTTAAGGTAATAATTGGATTCTCAGGTTATATTTCTGATTCCAAATATAGTATATATTTATGAAGGTTAGGAATTTAAAATGCAAATTAGTGGTTAACTCAGCAGGTCATCCCTCCGGGGACAATAAGTGTCACTTTGAGCGAAGTTTAACATCAACTGTCTGATGGAGAGACTAATCACCAAAACCACCACCACTACCACAGAATGTGGCATATGAACCATTGGTTGAGTACCGTCAAGAGTGAAATATCAACAAGAATCTAAGTACCTGTTTTCTGATCTCGTTTTCAACCTTCTTCCTCATTTCCTCTTTTACCAGCTCTGCATTGAATTTTTGGCTGAAATTGTTGGATTCGTCGCGGTTCTGCCAGACATCTGTGAACAAAACACAACTGATCGGACACCCTCCCACAATGCGCGCATTCAAACAACATGTTTGAGTAAGGTCCTGTTGTGATTTAAAGCTCGGTTCCCAGGGAATGCCTCCAGCCTGAAAGGCTGGCACAGAGGGCTAGGAAATGTCTTCGCAAACAGTCACGTTGTAGACATATTGCAGGAAGTGCTTCCCTCCCATTTTTTGTCCTGCTAAAAAAAAACACACCCTCGGTGCTTTGCAATTGAAAGCATATGCACGCACTTACTTACCCGTGTAGGTTTTGTGACCTTCAGAAATAGTCGGAAGGAAATTGGAGGGGGCCATTTTCCACCCTTCTTCCTCCTCCTTTATGAAGAAAAGAAAGATTTACGGGCCGTTATGTCTAGCTCAAGCTGTTGTTGTTGTTGTTCAACAAATGGCATGTCAAAGAACAATACGAGGACTGCATGCAGCTGTCGTTGCCACGTGCACACAGAATTGCATACTTCGTAAAACGGCTTTTGTCCAAGGCGATGTATTATTTGTTAAGTAAATGTAAAAATGCCATATTTTGTTTTACAAATTTGACGCTGTATGTGATTATAAAATGAAATCTTACTCCTAAATACAATGCTTATTTTACGATGCTCACACCCACGTCCCTGTAATCTTAATCTGATAGTGATAGTCACCGATATTGCAATGCCATCAGTGCTGATAGAATAAGGTACATGAGAAGACATTTACAATCCGACCTACACATTGCAAAAGAGTTAATGATTGTAAGAAAAGAATGGAATCGGTCGTATTACATTTGAACTAAAAACATGCAACTTCCCCCAACAAAGTGTACATTATTCACTTAATTAACATCTATTGAGAAAATGTAAAAGCGTTAACATATTTCATCTTCTTGGTTCTTTCGGTAAAGTCACGTAGAAGGGAAGTAATAAAATAATAAAAATAAAACATAATAAAACAATTCTCACGACGTTTCGGCCACAGCTTAAATATACGCTCCAAGCGTAGTGGTGTTTCATTCAGACTCTGTCGCCTCGACGGACCTGGTTTTCACCTGAGGACGGCTGCTTGCGTTGTGGCCGAAACGTCGTGAGAATTGTTTTATTATGTTTTATTTTTATTATTTTATTACTTCCCTTCTACGTGACTTTACCGAAAGAACCAAGAAGATGAATCCCTGCAGTCACGAAAGCTTTAAATCGGAACGTTAACATATTGCTGAGGTATCTTACCTCGTCTCCTGCTTTAGATTTCTTTCCTTTCCCTTTTGTCTTTCCTTTTTCCTTTTTCTCATTTTTCCCCTTTTTCCCTTTCTTCCCAGACTTCTTCTTATCCTTTGGATTCTGTTGCTCTGCTTCTTTGGCAGCAAGTTCTGCTGCTACCTGTGAAGCGGATGAAACATGAATAATATGACCGATGTTTTTCTTTTTGCAAGCGTGACAAAGAAGTCTCAATCGGCGCATGTATCCCTGTACGGTTGGCTACGTACGGTGCGAAAGAAGTTCAACATTACGTACGCAATTAAATGTTTGTAACATTATGGGAAAATAAAGTAAGAAAAACAATTACGATATAAACTGTACCTCTTCTGGTGTCTTTTCAGCAAAAATTAATGCAGATCCTCCATCCTCTTCATCGGGATACTCGGGAAACTTTCCAGTTGCATCCCTGCAAACAACGAGTGTAAATGGATTTGAATCCCAAAAACATTGAAGTATTTATGCTGAAATATCTTTAAAATTCTGCCGACTTACAAGGCTGCTGACTTTAAAGTCTTCTGTAAACGTTCATCCCATATTAATATTTGTATCCAAAATTCACAACCCAGATCTCAATCTACAACCTCCAAAACATATTTGCAGACATATAATTTGAACACGTGAAAAAAGATCATAACAAATCGCATTAATTTAAAACCATTGGGAGTAGCTAAAAACTATTTGAAGAATAATTATAAAATATATGATAGCTATCAAAAGCAGTGCAATAAAATGTAACAATTCCCCTTGCATGTGAGACGTCAAATCATTGACGGCTTGTTGAATTGAAGGCCCTCGGCGTGCCACACATTGCGTGAACGTACCTACACTCGATGAACCACTGCCGAATCTGCTCCTGCATGGCTTCCTTCATATCGGGCCCCTCCACCTCCAGCAGCTTCTGCTTGATGGACACAATGCCCTGCTGGTATTCCGTCTCGTGTTCGTCCTGAGTCAGCCGCCGCAGTGCCTCCACTTTCTCGGCATTCACTTGGGCTAGGCTTTTCTTCGGCAGATTTGAAGGCAATGTCTGACGGTCAAAGCACACCGGCGTACTCGTATCATGCCCCACGTCTTTTGCGTGCATAATTGCACCGAATGTTGTGGAACGCACAGGGAATTTTGAGGGTTAGTTAACTATAATAAATTCTTTGTGTTAGTTGCCACATCCTAGATCGCGCATTTTACAATCATTTTCCTGGCATAATGAAAGACAAAGTAAAATATTCTGTTTGACTATTGAACGATAATAAAAAGATGATTGTCTTAAATTGATATTCATATCAAACGAGGAGCTCACCATTCCGAGAAAAATAATTTCTTCCTCCCTTTCTCGCTTTGTTCGTCTCCTCTGCATGAAACCTTTCCACATCTGTACAGCAACACAAATCATAAGCATTAATATAAAAAAACAATCACCTTTACATGACAACATGTTGATGTAAAGCCATCGTGTCTAAAACAAAAATGAATTTCCAGAAGCTTTACGACTAATGGAAATAAGTAATTTGTGTTGTGGGTGCTTTAAAAATAAAAAAAATAAACTATAATAATAGGTATTCGATAAAAACCGCAGCAAAAAAATCCTTACCTTCTGGATGATGACAGCTGCTACAGTGATATCCATGGTAACAGCTCCACGTTCCTTGGCCTTGCGTTCTCGCTCCTCCTCCATCCTGATTTCCTGCATGAACTTGGCACGCAGCCTGCCCTGGCGGGCTCTCTCTGTCACCTGGACAATTCTCACCGCCTCCTCCAGGGACATCGGCTTCTCATCCTTAACTTGCTTCTGTTCACAAAATAAACAATACGGCAAGTCTGGCTCTCTCGTTCGAAGAGTTGACTCACAGATTAAGAAAACTTCTGAGTTGAAATCTATCGGTGGTCGATTCAGCTGAGCATCGCCGTGTGATTAATATAATTCAAACCGCTTCGTAGGATGCCAACATTTCTTGCACTGTGGAAAGATTAGTAACTGCGTAGGAATTCTTACACATATTGCAGTTTATCATTTGACTTGCATGATAATTTTTGTTCATACTCTCACTGTGCAGCAAGGATCTTGACATTGTGCCCAACTGGCCAATAAAGGCCAGTTGGCCGAAAAATCAAGATCGTGTTATATATTTTGCTTGCCGTTATAAAATAGATATCAAAATCCATTATACAGTACTCTATTTCAATACACAGGTTGTTCCTCAAAGGTCAGGTTGCTACGAAGTGTGCTATATTATCCACCTCTTTGTGGCCCTTAAAATTAATAAAAGTTTTTTTTTTCTCGTGACCACGTGATAATGTGGGATGTCTTCGCTAAATTTGCCAAAAGGCTGTTTCAGTAAAGCTCTACATTCCTCACTAAAATGGAAAAAGTAAACAGTCCCTTAAAAATATACAATGTACCCCAATGACACAATCAATATGAAAACAAACAATGGAATTAACATTTATTGCTATATTTGATATGCGTGAATTAGGGGTTATACTTCAGCTCAAAAAACCAAAGCAGATTTATCTGAAGTTGGGACTGGATGTACCTTTTCTACATCTTCCATTCCCATCTTTTCCAGCACCGTTTCAAGAAGCTTTTCCCGCTCCTTGATGATTTTTAAACGATCATTGATAAAATACTTGGGAACAGGAATCTCCAGGTCTTGCTGCAAAACAAAAATACAAATATTAATGTATTCGATTAAAACTTTCCAAAAGTGTATTTGCAACTAGCTAAGTAAACCTACAAAAGTGGTGCCGTTTAATCAGTATGGTAAATTAAGAATGGGGTGTCATTTGGAGTAAGATGAATCCACACCGGCCAATGTGGCGACAATCCTTCTGACGGCTACCATTACATTCTTGCATATGGCAATATGTTCAGAAGCTGAGTGCCAATGTCGTGGTTTGTTCAGGTCTGCTAGCCACGAGAGTGCTTCAGGTGAGAGTGTGTGCAGTATTGCCATTCCTCCATCAGGAGATGACACCCGAAAATGGATTCATAGCACACTATCTATTCCTTCTAGATTTGAAGCTTTCGTGACTCCAAGGATTCATATTCTTAGGTTTTTTCGGTAAAGTCACGTAGGTAAAAAATTTAAATTAATAAAAGTAAAATAAAATAAAAATCACGACGGAAGCTTGTGTTGCCTCCGACACGTCGTGATTTTTATTTTATTTTACTTTTATTAATTTTAATTTTTTACCTACGTAACTTTACCGAAAAAACCCAAGAATACTATCTATTCCGATGGAGCTGTGAACTTTCAAATTTGGATTGAAAACGAATTTCTTCAGAACCGCTTATTGTGTTTTGTGTTGTTCGCCTTCACCCCTCACCTCCGATTAGCACGGTCGGCTACGTACGGCGCGAAAGAAGCTCAACATACATACCCACATACTCATGCACGCCCTTTTACTTTACCGCATCCGCTTGCTCCATACAATATGTTTCTTTGAACGTGGCCGCTGTCTCCTTCGTGCAACGGGGGCGGCAGGCTTTCGGGTGAACGTGTGCCTCGGATGAGCTTTTTGTTTGTTGTTGTTGTTGGTGTACTCACAGGCGTGAGCTTGAAGTCCTGTAGCACGTCATCCACGTAGTGAAACTCGGAGCACTCGAGGACCACCATCTCCTGCTTGAGCTCCAGCAGCCGGCCCATGACGCCGTCCAGCAGGTGACGCAGGATGCGCCGCTTCTGAGGCTGCACCACCTGGTCGTGGGCGGCCTCCAGGCCCCGGGTGATGCCCAGGTAGCGCAGGTAGAGCGTGGCCAGCACCTGGAAGGCGGCCAGGCGGTCCTTCTCGGGCCGTGGAGGCTCTGGTGGCAGCTCCTGGCCAAAGAGGTGAGCTATCCCGGCATTGGCCTCTGCCCACAGCGCGTTGTATGTGCTGCATGCAAGAACATAGTTGACATGCTCATTTCAGCAATAAGTCTGCACGAGTCGCCTTCACGCTCACCTGTGTGACACTGACTCACCTGTGAGCCTCTGTAGAACACTCTCACATCTGTGAGATTCCCGCTCTCACCTGTGAGCCCCTCTCACCTGTGAATCTCTCTCACCTGTGAATCTCTCTCACCTGTGAGCCTCCCTCACCTATGAGTCCCTCTCATCTGTGAATCTCTCTCACCTGTGAGTCTCTCTCACCTGTGAATCTCTCTAACCTGTGTGTCTTTCTAGCCTGTGAGTTGGTCTATCACCTGTGAGTCTTTCTCACCTGTGAGTTGGTCTCTAACCTGTGAGTTGGTCTCTCACCTGTGAGTCTTTCTCACCTGTGAATTGGTCTCTAAGCTGTGAGTTGGTCTCTCACCTGTGTGAGCCCCTCTAACCTGTGAGTTGGTCTCTCACCTGTGAGTCTTTATCACCTGTGAGTTGGTCTCTAGCCTGTGAGTTGGTCTCTAGCCTGTGAGTTGGTCTCTAACCTGTGAGTTGGTCTCTAACCTGTGAATTGGTCTCTCACCTGTGAGCCATCGCTGGCTGCAGAGGCCCTCTGGCCCAGCGGAGTGCACGCCGCTCTGGGTTTGTTGTGGCCGCTGTCATGGCAACGCCTCCATGCAACGCCTCCATGGCAACGCGAGGGACCGCGGTGAACTCGCAGCAGCAGCCACCAGCGATAACAGTAACAGCGCATTTTTAAATACAACCTCAAATTTTAATACATCGTTTAGAGAAATATCTTGCGCACAAAAACAATATTATTACCCTCTGATATCTATATAAAGACCTTAATCTGTATGTCTTTAAAAAAAAACTCTAGGGTTCTTCCCGACATGGTAGACTTTTTGACTTTTTAACAACTTTTATTGCCGCCAGCAGCAACAACAGCACTGGAGGCGATTTCGATATGAAACACACACAAAGTCACCAGCAAACAAATGGAAATAAACGCTACAAATCCACGCGCTATGGCGCTAAAAGCAACGCGCACAACACGAAATAGAAGCCACGTGGTGGTGATGGTTGTGGTGGTCATCGCGCACGCCACGGTGACGAGCGAGCGCTTCAGAAGGTGAACACCACGAGGGTGCCGTCCACGCTGGTACAGAGAGGGGCTTTAATGGCTCCCCAGCGTTCGAAGAAGACGTGCACATCACCGACACGTGTGTGGTACATGGCGTGCTCCAGCCGGAGCCGTGCCTTGAGAAGGCCTCTGAACACTGGAAGCACAGAGCAGCTGACATGGTAGAAAGCTGACATTTGATACATAAGGCAGCCTTTGGGACACAGACAACAGGAATAAATCTGAAAATCCAAGATTTTTTAAAAATTTAAAGCCCCCAATTTTCGATTTTTAAGAGCCATATAAACAGGTGTGTGCGTAGTGTCATTCAGACTGCGTTCAAAATATAGGATTGCGTTTTTTGTTTGTTTGAAAGAACATGAAATGAAAGTAAAGCGAGAATCATGGTTATAGCTTATTGTTTTTGAGATATTTCCATTCAAGTGGTTTTGAACGACAAAATGCGCATTTTATGATGTTAAAATCTTAATAATTCGAAAACGGTAAAAGGCATTTCCCCTCATAGACTATTAGTTAATTCATTGTTGTTCTTTCTAATAAAACAAAAAGAACGGAATTTTTTAATTTAGCGGTTTCCAATGGGTACGTATTTAAATATAATAAGTTGAATGAAGTCAACAATTTTTTGGAGTAGTTCGTGTCTGATCGTAGATAAAAAAAAGAATTGTCAAAGAATCACATCAGGTTAATTATTATATTCATTGAAAAGGTTTGCCTGGCATAGACAGGCTTGATGAACTGATATAAAATAACCACGGTATTTAATTGCACCTTTATTGCTTTTCCAGTTGCATATTGTATAATGTATTGTTCTCCCAGCTATAACTGTACGAACTCATCATTGGGAGCCATGGTCAATCCACTGCTGGATGAACACGCATTGCTCGCGTTTAAACAAGCATGCTGATATGCACGGATCTTGAGCCTTAATCGATACTAATTCGCATGATACTAAGTGTTCAAAGTTATGTCTTTGTAAAAAAAAAATTAGTGTTTTCCTCCGGTGCAGTGCATTACATACTACGGAACAGAACACATTCATGCGAAGGGAGCTGGTAGGAACGTTGGGTTGCTCGGTCAATGGCCAGGGTCAACGGCGGCGTGGTGTATTCCGCAAATATGCCCGACTGTGAGGCGGGCACAAGCCGGCGTGAGTAGGTTAAACGTTGAGTTTTATAAGGGCACCACGGGGTGACCAGCCCCTCCCCACCTAGCCCCACCCCTCCTATTCCCCAGCCCCTCCCCACCCTCCCCACCCAGCCCCTCCCCACCCTCCCCTCCCGACCCAGCCCCACCTCCCCACCCAGCCCCTCCCCACCCTCCCCACCAAGCCCCTCCCTCCCCACCCAGCCCTCCCTGCACGACGGATGGACGGACACAATAATCCCCTGTGGGCTGGTGTTACCAGAGGTTCCTACCAGTACAACTGTCCATTGTAGTTTAATATAAGTGGCCACATTTCATATGTCCCTTGATGATGCTACTTTAACGCCAATGGTTACACAAGCACAATTAACAAACTGAACACAGTCTTCAACAAAACTGTGGCCTTAAAAGGAAATATATATTCGGCAACGTGTCGGGCAATAGCCCTTCTTCGTACGAATATAACTGTGCTAGTGATATATATTTACACGTTCTTATGTTGTTCCAATTTAGAACGCAGTTAATAAGGAAACATGAATACGGAGCTTCAGTTGAAGTTGCCATGAGCTAATTAAAACTCACTCTGGCACATTGTGTTGGTTAATTAAACAAATACGCATGGCCTCCCTTATCTCCACGTCAAAATAGTCTTGGTCGGTTAACCTATGGCCGTTCCACAGCAACGTTATTCAGTTCTAGATTTGAAGCTTTCGTGACTGCAAGGATTCAAGTCGTGTTTAGCTACAGCATTGTTCATTATTAACGGAACTGCCCTGCAAATATTCAAGAGCAGAGTGGGTGTTTTCCGTATGGAAGAAATGTATGTTATTACTCTTCTGTGTCATGCATTTTTATAAAATATATATTTTTACATCCGCAAAATAACGGCTCCCATAACAACGCAGGAGGCCAAACACTGACATCTGGAAAGAATTATCTCTGCGAAGACATACTTAAATCTATATGTTTCCGGAGCGTTAAATTATTAAAATCATGATATATACGAGCTCAACGCTGCAATTATGGTATTTTACAATCATGACCAGGTTACAATGACTGCCACCATCACGCAATGAACGAACCCCCCTCCCCTCTCCCTTCTCATTCATCACGTTTGTGATACTTGAATGACCAACTCACCCGATGTGCACCCGATCTCACTGGATCTCGGGTAAGCTCATACTTGTCAACCCCTTATCAGTGCTCTACCTTATTACAGACCAATTCAGACTACCATACACTATACACTACACTATACACTACACTATACACTGCACTACTATACACTACACTAATACATACCTGTCAACCCCTTATCAGTGCCCTACCTTATTACAGACCAATTCAGACCTTATTGGTCAACCCGTGCCCATTATAACTCTCAGCGTTCATCCTCCAAAGTCCAATCACAAGGGAGAAACACAAACAAATAGACGGAAATTATTTTGCCCGTACTGAGACGGCTGTACGCCGTATGGACCTGAAAACTAAATCTCCCTGTACAAGGATAGGGGTAGGTTGACATCTATGGTAGCTGGTAAGGTACTAGAGTTATGTTTTTTGTTGTTGTTAAAGTTATTTAAGGGGTAATCGGGGATGGACTTGCTGTAATGAAAGCATTACAAGGTTGTGAGTTAACTTGACTTCCACTCCACTTTTTTGGTTGACTTTGAATCAATATGCGCTTGAACAAGTTAGTTTCCATCCATCTTAACGGAAACCCCAATGTGTTAAAAAGTCGAACCGAAGATCTGAACTAACTGCAAATTTCCACGAACATAAGCCAGAAGCATGACCGAAACTAAATAACTTATCTCGAAACAAAGGATTTTAACCGGATCAGTAGTTGTTGAGTCTTTCGATACGAGGCCCTTATTGTTGGGGCAGGTATTGTCATATAATGGGATGGGCATGGGAAACCACCACGACGTTTACAAACGTCACAGACTAATTTTGACCTCGTGGAGCTCCAGAACCGGTTTTAGACGTCACTCACGATAACCGTGGCCGGGAAATCGAACCGAGAGGGCCAGGTTCGTATCGCAGTGCGCGCTCGCCGCTCCACCTGATGGCAGCAGGTCACGGGACAAAGGTTTTGTGTGTCGACTGCCCGAGATGTCACGCGCAAAAGACAAAAATCCCCCGTCTAGTCTCTTCCAGGTTCCCGAGGCAAGTGCTGTTAGCGAGCACCTATGAAGGTCGGCACGGCGCACCACACCCGGCCGCCTTCGCCTCCCCAGCGGCGATGTTTATACACGACACCAGGTGCTCATTTGAGGCCGAGTCGACCTAGGGGTGGGCCCAGGACCGGTTCAGATAATCGTCACTGGTGTTGGCCACGATCAAGAATCGAACACGGGTCGCCGGGTTCGTAGCGCAGCTCGCTAACCACGATACCACCGCTCCCCGGGACCGGTTCAGATAATCGTCACTGGCTTTGGCCGCGAGCTGGAATCGAACTCGGGTGGCCGGGTTGTTCGGGAGCTGTAGCGCGCTAACCGCGGCGCCACCGCTCCACGCATCGCACATCAACGACAGCACGCGAGGTCCCCCCTCACTCCCTCCCTCTGTTGACTCATCCAAGCGCACCCTTGCACCCCCCCTACCCGCCTCCGCCAATAATGACGTCTGTGGATGGAGGTTTCCTCCTCCTGCCTTTCGCGTGAGTAACCCAGAGCAGAGAGAGACCCACACACACACAGAGAGAGAGGCACCTTGTATATATACCCCGAGCCGAGTCGAGGGTGGGTCGCCGTGGATCGATCGAGTGCTCGTGTATTTATTGACAGGGGGCTCTCTCACCTGGTGAAGTTGGGTTCACCTGGACACCTTTGGAGCCAGCACCAGTAAAGGTATGTTCTGTGCAACACAGCCCGAGCCACAGAATACGAAATCACAGCGATTCCACTCTGCTACTCATGACGCCGTGATTTGGGCTTGACCATCCGAATGTGAAAATCGCAGTCGTTGCTTTGCCACTCAATCAGCCGCACGAAAGAAGAAGATACAAAAAGCGTTGTGTTTTTTTTAGTTGTATATATACGCACACACACATACAGTTATGGTTATGCAGACGTAGTTGTCCGTACGAAGATCCCGTGATGGTTGATGGTTGGCACACTGGAACTGCATTTCAATTCATAGGACGCCGAAACGATTGCAGTTGAAGCAATTGGTACCCATTTATACCCAGTGGTATAACTACCCAGTGGCGTCAATGGGTACACCGGAGTCAATGGGCAGGCAAGGTCATGGCGTGCGGTGTGGTGGGGTAAAGCGTGGGTGACTCCCGCCTCTTGAAACGCGTGTGGCCCAGCGGCAGCATTGGAAAACTTCGACCATACTTCACCGCGCTGGTCAATGAGGGTCGGATTCCGATGGTCACACAGTGAGACTTACAGCCAACAGTGTCACCTGCAAGGGGCTGTAAGTTACACTTATACTGTGTGATAGTTAGTGTGTTGTCATGTGAAGCCCTTTGATACATTGTTTTATATCAGCGCTGTAGTGGCCGTGTTTGTGTCTATGGATACCGGTTAGATGGGCCATAGCACATGAAGAAGGGTCATTGCCCGAAACGTCGCCGATTATATATTTGTATTTATTTTAAGACAGTGTTATTAACGATTGCGTCTATACGCACTTACTACAGATCGACTGTTTTTTTTATACACCGCATTGGATATAGCGTGACTGATAATTCGATGAAGTCACGGTATACTGTATATCGTATCAAAGGCGAAAGTCGATATCAGGGTCTATATCTGGAGGTAGGCGAATGCTCTTTTGAAGGTGGACCTTTGTTCATCAGAACACAGATTGGCAGTCTGTGGTGGGGGAGAGGACACACTGTTTTGATGTGTTCGTGTGATTATTCACTTCGAGTTCGATTTAATTGGGTTGTTTGGAGCAAAAGCAGTGAACAAAAGATGTGTTATGTCATTGGTTTACGTTTTCTGTGGGCCAAGAATGTTAATGACTCGCTTAACAGAAACAGTATTTGTACTACTCCAAAAGCAATTTGGCCAGGGAATTACAGTATTATCATTAGGTTGACAACGTTCGCTATGTCGTAATTATATGTTAACAACAACAAAAAAGGCTAAACGTATTTGTCAATAACACTGTTGGCCTTTAAAGGAAACACTTCAATCGGTGACATGTTGGGCAATACATCTTCTTGGAAGCACGCAGAGAGGCAAGAGAAGACGGTGGATAAGAGTTGGAGTCTGCACTTTACACCTTGGGACCTGATAAGAATTAAACAATATTTATTTTCCCTGAAGAATTGGCATATGAAGTCACCTATTACTAGCTATTGAGTAACAGACAAGCCCTTCAATTTGTACTCAAAGTAAAATGACAGCATGCTTTTGGCAACGTGATTATTATTACTATTTTCACATGTTGGTGGTGGTGAGTGGTGGCACGTTGTTCCAGTACGCCTCGAGTCGATTCCAGGCCACGGCTACCAACATCAGTGGCGACGTGTGGTATGTGAACCGCACCGAGATCATGGCCCTTTAAATTTCGATTTAAAGCTTTCGTGACTGCAGAGATTAATCTTCTTGGTTCTTTCGGTAAAGTCACGTAGAAGGGAAATAATAAAAATAAAACATAATAAAATACAATTATTTCCCTTCTACGTGACTTTACCGAAAGAACCAAGAAGATCAGACTCTGTCTCCTCGACAGACCTGTTCTCCACCTGAGGACGGCTACTTGCGTTGTGGCCGAAACGTCGTGAGAATTATTTTATTATGTTTTATTTTTATTATTTTATATTTCCATTCTACGTGACTTTACCGAAAGAACCAAGAAGAAGATCATGGCCCTTTGTTTTACAGCGTCATTTAACAACGTGCGGTGAAATCATAGCCACTGCTGGCTTACCACCACACCCCCCGGCATAAACGTGCCCCTTGTGCGAAAACCAAAGCCTACCGAATGATGTCACATCTCCGGCGTGCACTCACTCGTGTGTAGCTGGTTTCTTTTTGCGCGCGGTATCATAGGATTTGCATGAGGTTCAGTGATGCTCTTATTTGTTGTTGTTGCTGAGTGGGAAAAGGAAACCGCTTGTGGGGGAATAACCTAGGATTGAAGTTTTCGAGACTGCAGAAATTATACTCATTGGTTTTTTTACCGAAAAAACGCTTGAGGGGGGGGGGGGGGTTAAGAAGCCGAAACGTCCAGATCTTTTTCTCTCTGGAATGGATTTTGTTTTTTTTTAAAGAGGTATTTATCGTTAGGTCGTTTAAAGGAGAACCACTGCAGCTTGCCACACGAGAGCAAGTAAACCATTTTAGAGATGTGGTCTGAAGAAGGGCCATTGCCTGAAACGTCGAAAATGATATATACATTAGAGATTTTATATATATTAGTTGTAATTACTGGCGAAACGTCGTACTCACATTGTAAATGTTGTGGCTTTGCTTTCCAACACACCGGTGTGCTGTACTAGTGACGAATTGGCACGTTCTGTTTACGTGACAACCCTTACTAATTTACTGTGCCGGATAGTGACGGGTTTAACGACACTTTTATATATTTACGCGATCTAACCCAACAAAAACCTATATTATATACATTCGAGATATTTACAATAATGCAGTGTTGTTGACAACTGTGTTGAATTTTAGGTGTTTGAAAGTACACAGTTATTTTATTTTTAAATTCTCAGGGCCATTTACATGAGTGATACGCAGTGGTTTGTGCATTGCACTCAGAACCCAGATTCCTGACTTCCAAGAATCACAGCCACAGCTATCGGTCCTGCTCGCCCGCCGGCGTGGAAAGCATTGGTGTACGGGAGTGCACACTGAGTGTGCTTGGGAGTTTTACATCAATTGCACCCATTGCGATCTTGTGCTGGGGAAATCCTTTCTTTCAAATGCATTCCTCAAACCCCTTGTGGCCACGCCCTGTACAATGTTCCACACTATTCACGACGTTAATGTATAGCCCCTGCCGCGTAATGTATACAATCTAATGTCGACTGCGCAGTGTGGTTGTCACAAGCCATGGTTGGTTGGTTCACTGCCTGAGTGTGTGTACGCGTAACAATACTAACAACACCACTCACAGCAGTGAAGAGAGGCGCTTTTCCAAAGCATCACCTTAATTCACCGAAGCACGTGAGGAATGCACCCGTTGTCTGTTTAAATATTCGCAAAGAAGTCACCGTACATCTGTTTATTGTTTCTGCACATTCATATAATAATTTTCCTATGATCGGTGAAAAAAATACAATCAACCCGAGCCCACTTACGCTCGCAGGGGATGTATGATTTCACGCTAATTTATGCCTGTGCAGTAGCCTGGTCACTCGACGCGTGGTTAAACAAAACAACCCAGACACTTGAAGATCGACAATACATTCCAATCGAATAAGGCAGTTTACTAGATGCAGTGCTCGTTAGGCAACAACAAAAAATCAACGCATTAGTAAACAACACCGCCTGTAAAGGAACATGTAAACTGGACACTGGACAGTAAAAAAAACGGGTGACGTTTTGGAGCTAATGGACAATATTCGTAGGTACGAAGAAGGGTCATTCCGCGAAACGTCGTTTATTTCATACAATTGTTTTCTTTTTAAGGCAGTGTTATTCTTGGTTCTTTCGGTAAAGTCACGTAGAAGGGAAATAATAAAATAATGAAAATAAAACATAATAAAATAATTCTCACGACGTTTCGGCCACAACGCAAGCAGCCGTCCTCAGGTGAAGAATGAAACACCACCAAGCTTGGAGCGTATATTTAAGCTGGGTTGGAGGGGGAAAAAGAGCGCCTTGACAAAATAATTTGCATATCAAGAGAAATTTTGCACATTTATGGGAAATGCGTAGGAGGTGGGCGGGGGGTTTGTGTTGAGTTTGCTGTTACGTGCGCTTGAGCACCACTGCCCACGCAATTCTCTATCCACTGGCAGAAGTGGAATTAAATGAGTTTGGTTGTCTCGTTTTGCCATCAGCAATGTCAGTTCCGTGGGCGAAACAAAAACTTTAAGTCGTGATGGATTGGGGGTTTTCCTTGTGCGTATGACTGATGACTTTTTGACACTTCCCGTGTGAACAATTCCCCCTCGATTTTTAAGATCCCATTTGTCACGGTGATTTAAAGAGACGTCGTCGAAGATGGAACAAAAAAATAACATGCAAATAAGGGAGTCCCCACTGTTAAGGGTGTAATTACAAGCTACGCGTGTCCAAAAAAGTGGGGATTTGACTCATGATGTAAAGATCTCACAGCTGCCAGCAAGCAGGTCTCTAACGAACACTTGCCATGTGATATGTGAGCTTGACTCTGCATAATAAACAGCCCATCGACACGCATTACCTTTTGTTGCGCTATAGTCCTGGCGATAAACTTCTTTAATGTATTTCTGTGATTGCCTATAGCTATGCACTGAAGATGACTCGGCTAACGTTAATGCGCGGTGTGTGAGTGACTGTCGAATGGGGAGTGGTGGTGCAGTGGTTAGCGCGCTGCACTGCCACGAACCCCTGCGATCCAAGTTCGCGTCCCGCTCACGGCCAACACCAGTGACGATTATCTGAGCTGGTCTTGGGTCTCCCCTAGGTCGACTCAGCCTCAAATGAGTACCTCGTGCGGTGTGTAAATATCGCCACTGGGGAGACAAAGGTGGTCGGGCGTGGTGCTGGCCACCCACGCCATCGTGTGCTGTGTCGGCCTTCATAGGTGCTCGCTGACAGCACTTGTCCGAACAGTCTGTTAAGGCTATATGGGGAATCTTTGTCTTTGTTGTCAAATTGGGAGTAGCGGTGCAGTGGTTAGCGCACTGAGCTGCCACACTCCCCCCCCCGCGACCCGGGTTTTGATTCCTGCCCAACAACCAACATAAGTGACGAATATCGGAACCGGTCATGCGCCTCCCCTAAGTCGACTCAGCCTTAAATGAGTACCTAGTGTGTAAACATCAGCACTTGGAGAAACAAAGGCGGCCGAGCCCGGTGCTGGCCACCCACTTCCCACTATACCGTGTCGGCCTTCATAGGTGCTCGCTAACATCACTTTCCCCAACAGTCTGTGTAGGCTATACGGGGATCTTTGTCTTTGTGTAGTCAGATGCACTATATGTAGTCTATCCTAGATCTGGTATTTATACTGGTAGGAACCTCCTGGTTATACCAGCGCAGAGGGGATTATTGTGTCCGTCCGTCGTGCATCCAAAAATGGGAGGGGTGGGGCTGGGTGGAGAGGGGAGGGTGGGGAGGGGCTGGGTGGGGAGGGGCTGGGTGGGGAGGGTGGGGAGGGGCTGGGTGGGGAGGGGAGATTGTACCCCAAAAAACAACCTCTATTATGGATCATGTTGGCCGCGAAAGCCTGCCACGTGTTAATGTGCCGTGCGTCTATTCTCTTTGCAGGCTGCGAACACACAGAGACAACTCCAACATGGACCTTACTCTTGACTTTGACTCGGAAGCCTTCTTGAACTTCACCGACTACTGGGATCTGGAGCCGTTGTGCAACGAGTCTACGGACGCAAACTGCAGCTCTTCCTACAAGCACTTCGAATGCCCACAGGTCCTCAATAAGGGCGCCATTCTCATCGGCATATCCATCGTTTACCTCTTCATCTTCGTCGTAGGAGTCGCAGGCAACGTGGCCGTGTTCTGCTTCAACGTGTTCTTTCACAAAAACAGGTTCGAGACTCATCTGTACGTCGTCAACCTCGCCATTTCCAACATCTGCATCGTACTCGTCATGCCCGTGATGGTGGCCTCGTTTTTGCACGACGACCAGTGGCTCTATGGCAACTTCCTGTGCAAGCTCACCAACGTCACCTTCAGCGTCAACTTGTTCGCCGGCGTGTTCTTCGTGACCGCCATGAGCGTCGACAGGTACATCACCTTCGTGCACTTCCACGAGGCGTCCAGCCGGCGGAAGCAACGCGCGCGCCTCCTGATATGCGCCATCGCGTGGCTGCTGGCCGTGGTGGCGTCGCTGCCCGAGATCATCTACATCCGAGCCGTGACAACTCCCAACGGCGAGACCCACTGCCGCGCGGACCTGCCCCCGGACCACTTTTTCAAGTGGATGGCTGGCATCACCCTGCTGTACAACACGCTGGGCTTCCTCGTGCCCTTCCCAATGATCGTCGTCAGCTCGGTGCTCCTCTACCGGGCCATCGCGTGGCACGGCCTCTCGGAGAGGAACAACGGCCGCACGATCGTGCTGGTGTACGCGACGGTCTTCGCGGTCTGCTGGACGCCCTACCACGTGCTCTTGCTGGCGGACGCGCTGGCGCTGCTGCGCGTGCTGCGGTTGGGCTGCGCGCTGGACGAGGCGCTGTACGTGGGGCTGCACGTGGCGCAGTGCCTCGCCGTGGGCCAGTGCTGCGTCAACCCCGTGCTCTACTGCTTCGTGGACAAGCGGCGCCGGCAGGAGTTCATCCGCTCAGTCGTGGTCAAGTTCAAGGCGAGCACCGCCTCGCACGACCTGCTCGCGGAGGACTGCACCTATGTCACTCAGAACACGGAATGCGCGGTCATACTGCCGAACCGATCCGAGGCGGACCGCTGACTTTGAAGCCAGTTTGTCTGGAAAAATTCAAGACCCCCCGCACGGTGCACGCGATTACCCAGTCATAGATACGGCTTGTACCCAAATGTAAAACTTTGCTGCTTAAATTGTCAACTGTATTCTATGATGTGTAAAGAATGACCAAGTAAGAGTTTGCTCGCCGTGAGAAAAACCTGTAGATGCTAAAATACTTTTTATATATATAAAATGTCGCATTTATACAGAGTGCTTGTATGTAATACTGGATAATATTGGTAAGTAAAATATATTTTACGACATGTATTTTCTAGGTATGAGACAAACAGGACTAAAAAGCAATGGTATACATTTCCCGAGCTGAACTTTTTTTATTGTATAGAATTATCAATTCCATAATGAAGACTTATTTACAAAATAAAGACTGGAACGCCAATGTTTAATAACTACAATTTAAAATACTCGAGAGAGACGATGAACGTTGTAACGGATCTACTGTTACAAATCATTCAACATTTCAACTATTGGATCGTAAAGATACTGCACGGTTTTCGAATAAAAAAAATAAACCCTCTTTGGAATCGCACGAATGGAGTACTGTATTCAAGATATAAACAATATACAACTATATTGAGGTTGGTTACTCATAACGAGCTGTAAGTTGTAACAACATGTGCTGTAGAGCCATTCATAGTCTTACCCATTAATGCTATTTCAGATTATCAGTTCAATACCTTAACTGGATAAAGTGAAATAGTTGTTGGGGGGGATGTCTCTGCCTCTGCTCCCACATGTGCCGCTGGACGGGAGGTGATGGGTGGGGGCTTGGTGATGTCATCATCACACTGGGCGTGGCTTGTAGGGGTTTCCCACCTTCAGGAGGCACGATGCCGTCGGGGCGAGCACAATTTTTAAAGGGACCCAAGAAATCGACCGCAACAAAAAAAATGCGGATTACTCAATTCACTCCATTGATCGACTTCATCGTCGCAGCTACATTTTTGTTTTACCATCGTCCATCAAATGCAGAAGGATGTCCGTTTCTGTCTCAATACAGAAATTTCAAACACAACGTGTGTGGGATGGGGGGGGTGGTCACTCTGCAGACGCAAGCAAAGTTGTCATTCGGGCTGCACTACCAAGGGGGGTGCAGCAGGGTACGGCTGGATGACGCTAACGTCTCGCCAAGGCCACGGTGGGGGGGGGGGGGGGCGGAGGGGCTTGCTTCATCACACATCTGACGAAAGCGACTCACGCAACATGCTGCTTCCTCGACCCCCCCCCCTGCCAAACCACCACGTCATTACGCAGTGGGGCTGCATGACCAAGGTACGCGCACATTTGGTGGAAACAAAGGTATCCATTTAAATGCCAGCGTAGGATTTCTGTGCGTGACCGTCGTTGAATGTTTGGAATTTTGCCAGAGAAATTTCGTCGGAGAAATGTTGCCAGAACTTCTTCGAATCCGCAAAGCTCAACAACGCGTTCGTCAATAACACTGCGGCCCTCCTGCCTGCATATGGAGAAGAATCACATGAGGCAATTGCCCAAAAGTCGCCTAATATCAACGTTTTAATTTTAAGGGCAGTACCGCCAAATAATGTTTGATTTGGTCCGAACTTAGGTAAGCCAGATATTTATTTCGCATCGTTCCTTTACAGGCCAGTGTTGAGGCGCTACCGCTAGCGCGCACAATACCATGGATGAAATCGAGCCGTGGGACACGACCTCGAATTACTCCTACTTGGACCCACCGCTGCCGGACGTGTCCGACAGAGTGTGCGACTTCCTCGACTGCCTGCCGTGCAAGACGGTGGACAACGACGCCTTCAACACTGGAATCTCCGTCCTCTACGGCGCGGCGTTTGTCCTCGGCCTCGTGCCAAACCTCGCCGTCCTGTGGCTGCTGGCCACCGACCACCCGCCGGGCGCCCGCGTGTCGACAGCGCTGCTGCCCCTGAGCCACACCGCCGCGTGCCTATGCGGCATCTCCACGCTGCCGGCGCTCGTCGTGGTCACGCGACACGGCGTCGGCCACTGGCCGTCGGGCGCCGAGGCCCTGTGCAAGCTGCTGTTCTTCACGTTCGAGCTCTACCAGTACGGCACTGCCCTCTCCGTGGCCTCCATGGGAGTGGAACAGTTCTCCACTTTCGGGAGCGGGACGGTCGCGAGGGCGTCGATGTGCGCCGCGTCGTGGCTCCTCGCCCTCGGCGCTTCGCTGCCCAGCCTCGTCGTCGTGACGGCGGCGGGCGGCCAGAGGTGCGAGCCGGACCTCGACTTCGAGAGCGCGCGCACGTGGGAGGCGGCCGTCGGCGTCCTCGGCGTCTCCTTGGGGTGCGCGACGGCCGTCGTGGTTTTCGCGTCGTTTTACATCGCCGCCCGCAGGAACCCGGCGTTCGACTGCAGCGGGCGGCGAGAGCTTGCGCGCGTTTACTTCTGCTTGTTCTTGGTCTGCTGGCTGCCGTACCACACCCTGCTCTTGGCGGAGGCGCTGAAGTCGGCGGATTTCTTGACGTTTAACTGCGTCGCGGCCGAGGGGGTCTTCTACGGGAAACAAGCCGCGCAGTGCCTGGCGTTCCTTTACAGCGGCGCGACTGCGTGGGCATTCGTCGTTTTGAAATACGCGAGGCCCGCGCGACAAGCAGATGGCACGGCGCAAACCGCCCTTGCCCTATCTTAGGCGTGGATGTACGGACGTTGAACTTCAATCACAATGTGCACGTAGCCAGCCCGTGCTGATCAGATGAGGTGCAGAGTCAACGATATGATCGGCGCGACTTCCTCCCGCGTTTGTAACCTCCGCTTGCGGTGCAGTGGTTAAAAGCCGCTGAGCGACAATTTCCGGCGACCCGAGTTTGATTCCCGACCACGGCTAACATCGGCGGCGGGCGATATCCGAAGCGGTCCTGGACCACCCTCCGCCTGGGTCGCTTCGCCAACCCGCACTGAACCGGCGTGGTGAAGTATGGTCGTACGACACGGGGCGGAGAGGAATCCATCAAGTTGTGGACTGGCAAACGGCCGGTACAGTTCTTATGTCACGACCGTGGTTAGGCTGCAAAGCAAAAAAAGACGCGGCGAATGGTTACACGAAGACTTAAAAATAATACACCGAAAAGGCTGACTTCATATTCAGAGGCTCCCCAAGGCCTTTTCTAATTCAGCCGCATGCAGCCTGGGAGTGGCGGGGTGCAACTCTTTACATCTTCATGTACGTTACAAAAGCATTTAAATAGATACATTGTCACGACTGCAAGTGTCCCATGTGTGCCGATGGCAAGACAAACGAGCGAATGCGTTCGGAAGGAGAGCATTACGGTATTAATGAACGAGGCTTGGTAAAACGCGACCGTAAATCAACAGTGCTCCTTGGGTTGGGAAATCAACAGAGTTTTATTGGGATGAAGCAAGCAGCCTTCTTCCGCGAATTAAAGATCTGCGGGAAGATAATGCCTCGGGCTGACGTGGCGTGAAGCCACGTGAGGGGTCATGGCGATAATCTCCGGCCCGCCAGCAAGAACTGCGGCTCTAAGCATCTCGTTGCTTTCACTGATCCTGGGTTCATTTTCTACGGCTCATTCATATTTATTGATTTTTAAATTCAGCGTGTGTGTGCAACAAAATATATATATGCTCAACCATTAATACTGGTAGGAACCTCCTGGCTACACCAACCCACAGGGGATTATTGTGTCCTGTCCGTCGTGGAGGGAGGGGCTGGGTGGGGAGGGGCTGGGTGGGGAGAGGAGGGTGGGGAGGGGCTGGGTGGAGAGGGTGGGGCTGGGTGGGGAGAGGAGGGTGGGGAGGGGCTGGGTGGGGAGAGGAGGGTGGGGAGGGGCTGGGTGGGGAGAGTGGGGAGGGGCTGGGTGGGGAGGGTGGGGCTGGGTGGGGGGTGGGAGGGGTGGGGCTGGGTGGGGAGGGGCTGCTCACCCCGTGGTGCCCTTATAAAACTCAACGTTTAACCTACTCACGCCGGCTTGTGCCCGCCCTCACAGTCGGCCATATTTGTGGAATACACCACGCCGCCATTGACCCTGGCCATTGACCGAGCAACCCAACGTTCCTACCAGCTACCTCCGCAGGAATGTTTTGCAGCTACTTGGCTCATCGGTGCATTTTGACGTACAGGCACTTTGTGTTATAGAGTTGTTTGGGTATTTTTTAGCTATGACATTAACCTCTGATACTTTTTTTTTATTAGAGGGACAATGCACCCGCGAATTGTCGGAGTTCCACCGCCTGTTGCTGAGATGCCATTCCATCCGAAATATAAGTCTCTAAACATCGTGATACTGTCTGTAGCATTAAGGCTAAACAGGTTTCCTTCGCTCTGTGCGGGAGGAAATGCGTTACATAAGGGGGGGAGACACACAAAGTGAAATCGCGCAAATTAACCCATCGACTATCTAAAAATCGATGTCTTTGTGTGTTTTCGAATAGGCATAATTTTTTACATTGTAGTATCAATTAAATAATATATTTATACTACATATTAACAAGGCCCCTGTGAGTGTAAGAATGCGTTCCATTTCCATCAGGTTAAGAAACGTGCGAGTTTGTTTTTCTCCGATTAAAATTAATGGCTCGAAATAATATTCGTAATTATATGTACATTAACTTCAATGATTACACGTGCTCTATCATATACCTTTGTACTGCACTCAAAAAAAATAAACACTGTGAAATTATTACATATTTCTAAACCCTTTCATCACATTCCACGTGACACTTTTGTAAATCCCTTATTCTTAACTGTAAATCACAAACCTTTACAGCACATCGCCAAAAAGGTACTTGCATGTGCCGGATAAACGTCACACGAAGCCCGATCAGAAGAACAAATTCCCCTTGAGTCTCCCTACGATAGCAAACATCAGTCACAATCACCACGACCGAAATTGCGCAGCGCAGTCCTCTGCCCGATATGCCTGGGCAGCTCACGCGGTGGTCACATGATCACAGCCTCGCCTTCAGCTGCTCCCCGAGTTCTTGCTTGCCAATGGCCGAGAGGTGGACCTCATCCGGCCCGTCTGCCAACCGCAGGGTGCGCGCCAACGCGAGCCTGCAAACGCAGACGCACGCGCCGCCGGGCGACGACCAAGTCGGCGGATCTTCACAAAAAGGGATGCCCGCGAGGGAAAGATAGGGCACATGGCCGACAGTTGGCCTCCCTGCCCCCCACCCGCAACCCCCCTTTGGAGTACACGCAGAGAGCAGAGAGAACAATAAAAAGATAAAAAGGGGCACAGGTTGGGAAGTGGTTGCATTTACTTCTTGCTCGACTGAATTTGAGGGGAGATGAGGAGGTTGAGATGGGTCGGGGATGTAAGCGGAAAGGAGAAAGGCAGGTTACCTATACAGACACTAGAGTGGCATTCTGGAGTTGGAATGCGAGCGGATCACCTAAAGTCAAACGGTGATGAGATCCCAAGAGGAGACTTTGCAGATATGGTATCAACTGTGCAAGAGTTGCATTGTCTGGCAGAAAGAAATCATTGTCGAGGTGTGGTTAACAGCTCGGGCAATGGCTGCGTTCAATTATCGGCCTTGATCTCAGGACTGGAAGAAAAAAAACCCGAACTATCTGTAAAGGACCGCTCTGTAAACCCTGAAAACGGCAATGTGCTTACATATGCGCGAGAGGGAAGTCTTCCGAGACCCCTGCACCCCCGTGCACCTGAATGGCGCGGTCCAACACTTTGCAGGCCATGCGGGGGGCGGCCACTTTGATCATGGAAATCTGCGGCAGCGACGACGACAGGAAGAAGACCACACAGAGTCCACGGAGGCGTCATCCTATCATCGTCGCATGCTGCAAACAAAGTCCGTTAGCAAAAACAAAGATCCCTCGTGTAGCCTGAACAGACTGTTGGGGCAAGCACTGCGAACGATTTGCACCTATGAAGGCCGGCAAGGCACACGGAGGGGTGGGTGGTAAGCACCCCGCCCGGCAGCAACGTTTACACACCGCACCAGGTCATCATTCTAGTCTAAGCCGACCTAGTGGAGGCCCAGGACCGGTTCAAATAATCATCACTGGTGTTGGCCGTGAGCGGGAATCGAACTCGGATCGCCGGGTTCGCAGTGTGGCGTGCTAACATTCTACGCTACTGCTGCCCCATAGTCTCTTACACATACACTACATAACATACACATGCAGAATTGAAGCCTAAACTTGAAATAGTTTAGTCATGCATACCGATCGTCATTGTAGAGCGAGCGCTTGTAACACATGCCAAATGCGGGGAGGCCCAGGACTGGTTCAGATAATCGTCACAGGTGTTCGCCGTGAGCAGCGTACTGCACGTCCACCGTGCCACACTCTGCAACTGTGCGATTGCGATCGACCATCGTGCCACGCGAGTTGAGACTCGCCATAATTCATCATCACCGCTGCCCAACGACGGGAAAAATACAACAGCCGTGCGGCGGTGTATTGGGAAATGGCCCCTAGCGGAGGGAGGGGCAGGGAGACTAACTGACCTGGAGTTGGAAAAGAATGCCCCTACCCCGTGTGATGCTGAGAGAACTGGAAGCCCTTTTAGAGAAAGTTGACAAAAATAACCATTTTAGAATTGCGCGTGAGCAGTTCCCCGGCGGACGACGTTGATTATCCAAACTCTTAGTAAATCAAAACGTGCACGCGTCTATTGCATTTTAAAGAGTAAAATGTGCGCGTTGAAATGCATAAAGGGAAGATTGAGTGTGGACAGAAAGACTGCAAGTCAGCTGAATTTATGAAGAAGACAATTCACATTTTCTCCCTGCACCAATGAACAATAGCGCAGCACTCATCCCCGCTGGTGACCATAAGCCAGTGGTGGAAATTCCACGTTTCCATGGAAGGGGCCAGTCTATCAGCGCGATGCACCGCTGTTGACCGCTGTCGACCTCCCATGGAGCGGTTACTCATCGGCCGCGGATGGACGACAGGCCGAGTCCTACTGGACATCTGTGTAAAATAGCTCTGTAGAGCTCATGTGGGATTCCTCCAGGACAAATAAACATTCTGATTCTGACCCCCGACCCGGATTTGAGCCCACTGGCTACAACGCCACCTCGGGCCGGATGACAAGACGGGAAAGCAGAGTCGCCACACCTCCTTGCGGGCACGGGCGGCGCCGACGGCGTCGATGGCGTGCGCAGCTTTCAGCGTCAGCAGCCGCGACTGCTCAATCTCCAGCCGGCACTCGGCCACCTGGTGAAGGACGACCTCCTGGGGGGGGCATGAAGGGGGGGGGGGGGGGTATGCAAGAGGGGGGTGAGGGGGTATGCAGGCCCACACGAGGTCACGGTGCGAGAACACTCCAGGGTCAGCAAGGGACTTGGGGCGCTCGCAAACGACCTCTACGCGACGTCGAAAACAAGTTTCAAAACAACACACGGAGATGTGTAAAGAGCACAAAGACAAAGACCACGGTATAGCTTTGACAGGCTGTTGGGGCAAGTGCTGTTGGGGCAGCACCGATGAAGGCCGGCACGGCACACGAGGGGAGGTGGGTGACCAGCACCACACCCGACCGCGATTTGTCCCAGATCGCACCAGGTACTCATTTGAGGCTGAGTCGACCTAGAGGTGCTGCCACTGCTATCCAGTGGCCTGAAATCAAATATATAACTATAGATGACCAATGCGAGAAATTATCATGTATTTTGATTATAGTGTGCTGCTACTACTATTGTTACTTCAGCTAGCGAAGGATGCTATGTTTAGTAATATGTGTTATGTATGTCGCTATTGTAAACTTTCAATCACATTTTTTACGATCACTGTTACATTGTTTTTATAGCATTATTTCAGTAATTTCTAGAGAGGCTTAGTTTAGCCCGATTATTGATGTAGTATAGAGTTATACCTAAATTTTTTATCAATATTGTATTATGATTGTTATTGTGATCTAACATGAAAATAGGATTTTGTTGCCCATTTTTGTACGCAGCATAAACAAACGGTGCTTTTTCTGGAAGATGTTATTGTTTTTGTATCTTGTAATTGTATTGTTTGTTGCGGTTGCACCCAAATCAAGAGCCGCATGGCTCACAGGGTTATTCCAAATAAATGAAACTGAAACTGAGGCCAAGGACCGGTTCAGTTGGCCGGGTTCGTAGCACAACTCACTAACCGCTGCGCCACTGTTCCCCACCTGTGCACACAGCTTCTGTGCACGTGCAAATAATGTGGGCATTTGCTGAAGAAGTGCATTTTTTTTTGCAATTGCACAAAAGGTTGCGTGCTTTTTAAAAAATGTTGAGTGTTTTTTTTTACTTGTGGATTTTCCGGCCTGCACTGTTATTCCGTTACAATGGGGGTTTTCGCGTCATTTACAGATGTGATTACTGTTGGCATTAGCCGAGCTAATGGGGCCCATAGCGTGCATGTGGGGACTCCGCACACGTAGTTTTCAGAGGAAAGCCTTTGCAGCAGTAGACTCTGATGACTGACTCTACTGTACTGATGAGATCTAATGATGATGTAACCCGTCCACAGTTGTCTATTACTGTGTCACCACTGTCGATCACGTTTGTTCAAATTTCTTTTGATGTTGACCTAAGTAAGACAAGGGGGGACCACAATGCAGTTTCAAGAACTGACGATATTTTCCCAAAATGCACATACAGTGCAAAGAGGAGTGGGACAAAATCCCTCCTGAGATGTGTAAAAACCTGGTGGCCAACTACAAGAAACGTCTGACCTCTGTGATTGCCAACAAGGGTTTTGCCACCAAGTACTAAGTCATGTTTTGCAGAGGGGTCAAATACTTATTTCCCTCATTAAAATGCAAATCAATGTATAACATTTTTGACATGCGTTTTTTCTGGATTTTGTTGTTGTTATTCTGTCTCTCACTGTTCAAATAAACCTACCATTAAAATTATAGACTGATCATTTCTTTGTCAGTGGGCAAACGTACAAAATCAGCAGGGGATCAAATACTTTTTTTCCCTCACTGTAGGCTGTGATGTTTTTTGCACGTTACCGTGTGTTGTTGTTTGAAATGTATGGTTTCTCCAGCCTGCGCTATTATTCCGTTATGACGATTGGGTTATTCTCCTCATGTACAGATTTGACTTACAAAAATGTAAATAAAGTCAACGTGCCTCATTTGTCATTTACTGCTTCATATTTACGACTTAAGCATGAGATTCGAGCCTAAAAATAAAGAATAAAGTGATCACGTGTCTCCATAATCAATTGAACTCATGAGGAATGAGCAGCCGAGTCGACTTGACCTTAGATTTGACCTTTGACACGAGTCCCGATGCGAGTGGCACGCTCTAACTCGGCTTGGGTTCGCCGCAGGTGCGCAGGCAAACAGCAACATTACTTGGCAGGCACGGCAACTGGAAATTTGAAAGAGTGTTATGAGATTATTTACTCTATCTGATATCCGTTACGGCTTTGCGCGGACGATGAATCAATAAGAAATAAAAACGCGTTAGCCGCCGGGCCAGGGAATGCTGCGGAGACGCACATGTGCGGAATTGCGTTTGAGAACCCCGTGGAATGTTGTGGCAGGCTCGGAAATACTTTATTTATTCCCAGGAAATTTTACCGTTCGTACGGAACTCTTGAGAACACCTCTCGTGCCAAAAGAATGCCGTGCGGAATTACTCATTTGGGGATTCCACATAGCAGCATCGATCACCCCCCCCCCCCCCCGAAGCCTCCTGACAAAAGTTCCGAGACTCGGTGAGGCTTTCCTAGCTCCACAAGTGCAGTACATAATAACAATAAATAAGCATCCTTAAAGCACTTGTGAGAAATTGGAGGCGCTGTCATTTTCCCAATTAACCCTTTCCCCTTCCGGTGAATGTTATCGGTATCGAGACTCCCAGCTATCGTAGAGTGCGGTCGTGTCACTACAGTTCTCTGCGGTGAGTACAATGTCTTTAAAAACAGCTGTGCGACGCCTCTCTCAATGATGTTAACCCCTGGGACCCACTCTGCAACTTGCAGATATTCCGTAATGGTGCTAATACAAAAAACCTGTCAAAACCTCTCCGCGCACGAACCACGAGGAGGTGCGGGGCAGCGCTTACGTGCTCGTAGAGCTTGCGGCCGAACGCCTGCCTGGTGGCCGCTCGCTGGCACAGCAACTCAAGCGCCCTCTCGGCCAGTCCCACCGTTCGCATGCAGTGGTGGATGCGGCCTGGCCCCAGCCTGCCCTGGGCGATCTCAAACCCCCGGCCGTCGCCTGCGACAAACGGAGAACGTACGCGCGGAATGCTCTCCTATTAACGCTGCGTGTTTCCATCACGCGGATTGGACGCAACGCGATTAATGTGTTCGGGGACGTATTTTTGCTATAACGCGGATGCGAATTGGATCAAACGCGATTGAGTGAACAGAACTACGTTGCGCGAGTAGGAATAAGCGGCTGTACGGCTGCCTCGGCGTAGCATCACACAAGAAGCTGGATGCTTCTAGATGCTACCCACGTGCCTCAGTCTTTGTTTTCCCTGCGTACGCATCTCACGTGGTATCGCGGACTGCGCTTAACCCTATATTAATAATTATTTATTAGAACGCAATTTTTCCTAAACGCGGTATTCTTCAGGGACGCAACTACCGCAGCGTTGTAGGAGAACGGACCGTACACGCACGTTGGAACTAATTTCCCACCGCACGTAACACAACCGCGCACTTATAACCGGACGTGCAGGGAGAATGCCACTCGGCAATCGGTCGGCGTGGGTTTGTTGCGAGCGAGGACTCGTCAAGCTCCCTTGTTTGTCCACGGCAACCGGGCCAGAGCGGCGGGCACGTTACGCGGGAAGGCACGACTGTTTGCAAGGGTTCATCTTCTTGGTTCTTTCGGTAAAATCACGTAGAATGGAAATAATAAAATAATAATAAATATTTAAACATAATAAAATAATTCTCACGATGTTTCGGCCACAATGCAAGCAGCCGTCCTCAGGTGGAGAACAGGTCTGTCGAGAAGACAGAGTCTCCACCTGAGGACGGTTGCTTGCGTTGTGGCTGAAACGTCGTGAGAATTATTTGATTATGTTTAATTTTTTATTATTATTATTATTATTTTCCCATTCTACGTGACTTTACGGAAAAAACCAAGAAGATGAATCCCTGCAGTCACGAAAGCTTTAAATCGAAATGTTTGCAAGGGCTTGGACACAAGAGTCCGCGGGCCCAAACCAGATATTCACTTGTCGGTACCGCCGGAGGTGTGCGTACGCTGAACTTCTTTCGCACTGCACGTAGCCAACGGTGCTAATTGGGGGTGGCCATCGCTTCAGCTGTGTGTGGCCAACGACGGCGACTCACGTGATAACGCTTTAACGTGAGTCGGGCTGTCAAATAATACACATTAGTAATCGCCATTTTATGTGCGGTGATATTATTACGTATATTTTATGCAAAAAACGTGCAAATGATGTAATGTCAGATTTAGGCAAATTTGGAGGAAAGGAAACCGTATGAATGAGGGAGTCACCCTGAGCAGTCACCCTGGAGAGTCACTCACCCAGCAGTATGTTGGAGGCAGGAACTCGCACGTTCTCAAAGTGGATTTCAAAGTGCCCTCCATGAATGGCATCTGCACAGCACAGACACCACCGCCACCACACCGTTACCACACCACCAGCACACCACCGCCACACCACCACCACCGCCGCCACACCACCACCACCGCCACACCACCGTCGCTCGGAACGCTCGGGCAATGCCGTTCGTGATCGTTAAGTGAGCATTCGACAAGGTCGGACAAAACAGCTCACCGTCATAGCCGAACACCATCAGGGGCCTGATGATCTTGACTCCCGGTGTGTCCATGGCAACCAGTATCATGCTGTGCTGCTTGTGTCTGGAGATGACAGCCAACCACAAGTGGCATTAGGCATGTGTTACCAGTGCTCACTCGACAATGACGACAGGTACTCATGACCAAACTATTCCAAGTTTAGGCTTCAATTCTGCATGTGTGTGTGTGTTATATAGTGTACGTGTAATGGACTATGGGGCAGCAGCAGTGTAGCGGTTAGTGCAACGCACTGCGAACCTGGTGACCCGAGTTCGATTCCCGTTCACGGCCAACACCATTGACGATTATCTGAAACGGTCCTAGGCCTCCACTAAGTCTGCTGCGCCTAGAATACCTGGTGTGGTGTGTAGAAACATCGCCGCTGGGGAGACAAAGGCGACCGGGCCTGGTGCTGGCCACCCACCCCTTTAGTGTGCCGTGCCGGCCGTCATAAGTGCTCGCTAACAGTACTTGCCCCCACAGTCTAAGGCTACATGGGGGAATCTTTATCTTTGTGTAGGAACTATGGGGTAACGGTACGTTAGCGGATAGCGCACTGCACTACGAACTCAGCGACCCGAGTTTGATTCCCACTCACGACCAATAACGGTGGACAATATTTGAACGTGACACCTAACCCTCCCCCCCCCCACACCCACCACCGACCTGGCCAGGGAATCATCTCCAGTCTTTCCCATCACCACCGCCAACGTGCAGTTTGGGTTACCAGCTCCTGAGCAACAGAGACAAGGGGAGCGTGGGTACAAACGGAGAGGAGATCGTGCGGCGAGCTCAAAATATCCTGTCCCTCGCTGGAGATGTACGTGCTATGAAGCAGGGCCATCGCCCAAAAACGTTGCCGATTTCAGATATGTTTTGTAAGGCAGTGTCATTGATGGACGTCTCGTGTTGCGTCTTTAGTTGTTGTTGTTGTTGTTGTTAATTGTGCTTGTGCACAACTGCTAATGCGGCAGCAGCATCTGCCTCTTTGACGAGTGCTAGCTTCAAGGGTTTTAGAGAAGGCGGTGGCTACTCTGCACCTCACTGCCTGCGATCCAGCGCTGTGGAGGCAGCAGCGAGGGTAGGTGCATCACACCCAGATCATTGTTGTGAAACTCCCTTCACGTGGGTGATGAAGAGGAGCCCACACCCTTGCTTTCCGGGAGAAGGCAGTACAGCCATTGGACTCATCGCCATCTGTTTCAATCTGTACGGGGATAGTGTGTTGCCCCCTCGCACAAAGCATGGGTTTTTCAGCAGATGCTCTGGTTTCCTCCACAACGTGTAACAATAAACACAACTCATCATGAGTTGGGCTGAAAACATCTTAAAATACAAACCCCAAATGTAGCAGCAGGAGCCACTTTAAGAAGAGTCCTACGACTCAGTGTGGCTCTCCTGGGTAAATAAGTAGTTTATTATAAACATCGAACCCCTAAGACTATTGAAGGTGACAGACTGGCTCCCACAGCTTTGAGCAATAATACCCTGAACCCCTGGGAAATTCCAAGGGCATCTTGGCTTGGATCTGTGCACATTATCACTCGCTGACACAGATGCGGTATTCGAGATGACAATCAAAACCATCCACATTAACTTGTATCTTGCCTTGGGCCCTCTAATTGTACTTCCTTTCATAGCCTCGCAGTTTACAGCTGCAGAGCGCAGTAATGATAACAAAACACGCGACAACGGTTACGTAAATTACAAACACAGGGGAACGCAAAACGAGTTCAGATAACCATCGCAAGCAAGGAGTAACATCGCAGAAAAAGCCCTGATCAGCTGACAGTCAGGGTTGCTGCTGTTTGTCCGCACCGAGCTGTAACAGCCAGTACCACCACCTCGTAGGGGTGGTAGCAGGCAGTACCACCACCTCGTGTTGTGGGCTAGAGGTGGTAGCAGCCAGTACCACCACCCCGTGTGGTGGGCTAGAAGTGGTACCAGGCAGTACCACCCCGTGACGTGGGCTAGAAGTGGTACCAGCCAGTACCACCACCCCGTGACGTGGGCTAGAAGTGGTACCAGAAAGTACCACCCCATGCTAGTCCATGACTGCCGATGCCAGACTGTTGGGTGGTGCTAGAACCGGTGCCGCTTCAAGGGCAATCGGGGTCCCAAGTGAAAAGCAGTCCCGGGTCATTGGAAATAGGCCTAAGTTAGGGACGTACCTTGGTGGGGTCCACGAGGATAGAGGGTTGCGAGTGGCACCGCCCCGAGCGATTCAATTAATTATCAACATTCGGTTCGTACGATTCAAATTCAGGTGTCGATTCATTGTTGCCTCGTTCATACGGTCTCATGTTGTATTCTCCGCCTCGTATCGTGTCCTGCTTGTTCCATCTGGTTTGTTTCGTTAGCCCAAAGGTTAAGTACGTCGAGTATTTAATTTACATCCGAGGCTAAAGGTGCAGCCCTGAAAATACTGGCACGCGAAACTGCTGGCAGAAGAGCCTCCATTGGAGGAAGCTCAAGGAAGCCCCTGTCAATGGTGTTTGGCCTTCTCTTACGTGCAAATTTGAACATACCGTGCACGTAAGAATCGATTGCGGATTCGCCTAAATCGGTGAATCGGTACTGTTGTGATGCAAGTCTGCGCGTGTTTGCCGCCCTTGCAGCCGTGAGCCCTCGGCACAAACACCAGCCGCCCCGTCGCCCATCCGGCCGGGCCTGGCATCGCTCACCACTGCTCCACCACTTGCGCCCATTCACCACGTAGTGGTTGCCGTCCCTCCGGATGCTGCACCTGATGTTGGTGGCGTCGCTGGATGCCACGTCGGGTTCTGTATGGGGGGGGGGAGAATGTATGAATGTAAATATGTCTAGATGTCGAACTTCTTTCGCACACCGTACGTAGCCAACCATGCAAATTGGACGTGCGGACTATATTACCATGGACTATATACAATGATGCGAACAATATTATGTCCGCTATATAACTCAGCTCAAGCCTCCCGTCAATAATGTGACTGCTGTGTGGCCACCCCCACGCTGAATCCCTCCGCTCCTCCTTGCTGCCCCCTGTCTAAACACAAAAACACGCTGCACCGTGCAGCTCACCTCTCCTTGCTCCTTCCTTGTTTCCATCTATTTCCTCCCCTCTCAACGTCGCCCTCTCATCGTCGCCCTCTCAACGTCGCCCCTCTCAACGCCGCCCTCTCATCCCCGACAGCTGGGCCTGGTCATTTCCTACTCCCCTTCCTCCTCCTCCTACCCCTTCCTCCCTGATGCTCATCTCGAGCTATTCCCTCTTTGTTTGCCTTGGGGACTTTCCGTCCTGGCATCTCTTCCCTTTGCCGATGCAACAGATTCTTACTTCCGTGGCGTGGCCCCCAAAACAACAAAAAAATCACAGCACTTGGTCGCTGGAAGGCTACGCGCTTTAAATCCGGCGCTTATATAAATCATAACCCCGGCGCGAACACAGAGCCAAAGTTTAAACACCCGGCGCCCGCAAGGGCCCGACAACACGGCGCGTTACGCAAGTGCGCGCGCCCCGTTACGAAAGTAACTCGGAGCAGGTGGAGGTGGCGGTGGTGGTGGTGGGGGCTCTCGTCTGCCAGGTTGGCGGCAAAACCGTTTGTGTCTGGCCAGACATTCGACGCCGTCGGGCCAGTGCGTCAGGGGCAGCCTTCATCTGTCCACCGGGTTATCTATTGCGGCTTGGAGTGCAGCCCTCGCGGCGTGCCGATGACCTGTCATGCAAAAGCAGGAGTGGATCTCCCCGCGCAGCAGGGGCTCCAGCCAATCCCTCTTCTGTTGCTCCGTCCCGTAGAGATGAAGAACCTCCATGTTGCCCGTGTCTGCAATGATAATAATTACGATGTAATATACGTGCCATGCAGAAGGGCCATTGCCCGAAACGTCGCCTGCTATGCACCTTCCCTATTAAGGGCGCAGTATTGTTGAGATAAGCATTGAGTCTTGTTGTCAATTATAACAACGATGATGACGATGAGGACACGTTGCTGTTAAAGGTGGAAATAAAGTCCACACGTATCCACGACATGCGATGCTTGTGCATAGCCCCGGTGGCTTCCTAATATCGGAAGGAAGAGCGTTCCAGATGGCCGCAGATGCACATCTGAAAGCGCGCGATGCGGTGACCATCTTTGTTCGATGGCCAGCCAAAAGCTGCTGCTGCTGCTGCGTGGATGACCAGAGTTTGCAATAACCACCGCCGCCCCTCTATAATGGTCTGTATGTATGTGTAACTTCGTTTTGCACCATCCGTAGCCAACCGTGCGAATCAAAGGACAACACGCTAAACGCGCGCTGTCTCTCGCTGCGTCTCCCAAGTGGAGGTGCTGGTATACTGGCCCCGGTGCTCGTCGCAGATAAAATCAACTCAGGGGAGGCTCAAAGAAAACAAAAGAGGGTCTCTCGCTACGACGGAGCGCCAACGGACACGGCCAGGAAGGAGGACGCCAGCGAGCGCAGCGCGGGATACAAACAAACGGCGCCATCGTGTAAACACAGCACAAGCGCGACCACAGTCACGCACGCGTGGAAAGGGCACCTTGTGAAGAGCGGACAAAGTGTCCGACGTTACCTTCGTGCTCACATGTTTGGGAGACGAGACCCTTAGCAGTTGTTTGGCAGTGATGCTGCTACTGCTGCTGCATTAGCAGTGGTCCACAAGCATGGATAACGACAAAACCGCGCAACACATCCGTCAATACAACTGTGTGGCCCTTAAAAGGAAATGTATATGGTAGGCAATATCTATGGGACCCTTTTGCCATTATCATTATCTTGATACTGGCCAAAGGGTCCCCACAGATATAACTGCTTTACACAAACTGTTAATGCTTTGATGGATTGCCCTTGTACTGGTCGCCTTTTGGTGGAATTTGGTCTTTCACTGGTGAGACAGAGCTGTCTCTGGCGTAGGCCAATCCGTTTCAATTACATCATCAAAGCACGTTTGTTTAGATTATTTTCTTGTTCCACACGTACGTGTGGTTCATGCAGACTCGTTGCCTTGTCATAACACCGGTATTTATGGCAGACAGGCTAAATCATTAAATAAGCAATGTTTCAGGCAATGGGCCTCCTTCATAACACATACATTATATATAGATTTTAAGGCAGTGTTGTTGACGAACGTGTTGGGATCGTGTTAACCACTGTTAGTTCTAAACTAGCTTCAAATAAAACATCGGAGTGCTCACGTCACTCCGGTTACACACCGCGCGTCAGGACGTTTTTTTGCCAGAGGATGTTTCTGATTTTCCCAACAAACGCGTCACAAACGCACGCACAAGTTTAATTCGAGTACAACGTTCGATGACGGATTCTTGAGACTGCTGCTAAAACGTGACCACTTCATCTCCATAAGGTCAAACATATCCAGCCAAATGTTTCTTCCATAATAGAGGTTTTTGGGTTAGTGACGAATTGTCATCACTTGTGACGAATTGGCCACGTTCTGTTTACGTGACAACCCTTACTAGTTGGCTGTGTCGGGCAGTGGCGGGTTTTAACGACACATTTATATATTTACGCGATCTAACCCCAAAAACCACTATTATGAATGATATCGGTCGCGAAAGCCTACGTGTTAAACCAAATGTTGCTTCGTAATAATAATTTCAAAATGTAATAATAATAATCTTCATCATCTTCTTCTTCTTTCGTATGGCCGATGTAGATGCAGGGCAGGGAGTTTCACAACGTCCGTGCGTGGTGATCGACCAACCCTTGCTGCTACCTCCGGTGCTGGTTGACAGGCAGCCACGTGCATAGTCAGCCACAACCGCCCGACTAAACTTCTGGTTTGTGATGTAAACCAAAATAGCCCTCTACTCGATATCCAATACTGCTAAAACCCATGAGACCCGTGAAGACCATTAAACCCGACCTATTGAGAGTTTGCACAGCGGGAGAGTGAGAGATGGTGGACGGGTTCGGGAAGAAAGGCTTTCATCCGGCAGTGGATTGAGCGTGGCCGATAATGATGAGGATGATGATGCATAATAAATGGCGACCTGTCTGCCTAAACAACAGAGGCTCGCGTGAGCCGCATTTCACTAGCACAGGGGGTCGGTAAACCAAAATGACAAGAAGAGGCATTTTTTGTTCGAATTCGGTACAAAAAACTATTTCATAACGCGGCGGAGCAGTCCGTAAAAACCCCGCGTGCGGCTACGGAGCCGACAAAAAATGTTTTACGTATAAATTTGCTTGATTTATTCACAATTTCCCGTGGAATTTTTTCTTTTAAAATATCGACGTCAGCCCGGCATCATTTCGAAGGTAACCAAAAGTAATTTCCTGCCACGAATGAGTCACACTTTGTATAAATCTCACGTTGACCACAAGAACAACGAAGGATGCTGTGATACGGTATGTGACGACGAAGCAGTCCGTATCCGTCGTTGTTGCGACGTATACCTCGCTGATCTTGTCAAGGAAAATAAACCATCATCGCGCAAACTCCAGTCATCCTTGCATCAGCAGCCGTTTTTTGGCTGGCCATCGGACAAAGACGGTCCAACGCATCGCGCGGCGCTTTCAGATGCCGCTTCTGCTGCCGTTTGGAACGCTCTTTGGATATCAGGAAGCCACTGGAACTGTACACTTTTAAAACACATTCCTGCTGCGGAGGGAGCTGCTGGTAGGAACGTTGGGTTGCTCGGTCAATGGCCAGGGTCAACGGCCAGGGCGTGGTGTATTCCGCAAATATGCCCGACTGTGAGGGCGGGCACAAGCCGGCGTGAGTAGGTTAAACGTTGAGTTTTATAAAGGCACCACGGGGTGACCAGCCCCTCCACACCCTGTCCCACCCAGCCCCACCCTTCCCACCCAGCCCCACCCTCCCCACCCAGCCCCTCCCCACCCTCCCCACCCAGTCCCTCCCCTCCACACCCAGTCCCTCCCTCCCCACCCAGCCCCTCCCTTCACGACGGACGGACACAATAATCCCCTGTGGGCTGGTGTAACCAGGAGGCTCCTACCAGTATAATCGAGATTGAAAACTAATTTCTTTAGACCTGCTTGTTTGTGTTTAGATTGTTGCTCTTCCCCCCGCATCTCCGATTAGACACAATTGGCTACGTACGGAGCGAAATAATTTCAACATACATACATTAATATTTCGCTACAAACTAAACTGTGGGTGTGTGACATTTCGCCCTATACAATTAACCAGAAAATATTCCCGCGCACCTCAAAAGGAAATTGCATGCCAATGGTCAAAAGGAAAAAAACTTTTTTAACTCGACACCGAAGGAAGCAGTTGTACGTTTTAAGAAAGTGCCACCATATGAACCCATTTCCACCTTCCAAGGGAAACCATCAATGTGGAAAGGCTACCAATGCGAGCATATGGAACACTACGCTCATCCTCATGCTGCTGCATATTCCCGTATAAACATTTCCAAGTATTCGAGAGAAAAACACAGAGATTTACCGCATTGAAACTGAGGCAATTCAGACATATATCAACGTTTGCTTTATATGGAAAACGTTGGCTCTAAGTCTGTTGAAATCATGTGTATTTCCCCCCCCCCCCCATCCTCCCCCCCCCCCTTCTCACCTCCACTTCTCACCTCCAGATGCTCGGGATCTCCCTCCTCAAGTTGGTCTTACCACCCCCCATCACCTCCCCTTCCCCTATTAATCCCCCGCCCCGCAACCAACCAATCCATTTAAGAGCCGACTTCCCGCCCACCACCGGCCTGACGCCCCCACGTGATTGGGGCAGTGGTCCAGCTTGTCCCCATCCTTTATCCCCCACCACCCCTTCCCTTAAATGGCTTTGTCGTTTTGGGATTGTTTTTCCAGCGAACGAAATCAGCCGGTTGTGCACGCTTCGCAGCAACGTGCTGTGTGACGGGCCTGCGTTCTTGTTCAAAAAAAAAAAAGTAATTCCGTAAGACAGGTTTTTTTTGGGTTAGATCGCGTAAATATAAATGTGTCGTTAAACCCGCCGCCACCCGACACAGCCAATTAGTCAATAAAATAAATATTTTTATTTTATTTTATACCTACACGACTTTACCAAAAGAACCAAAGAGTATGGATCCCTGCAGTCACAAAAACTTCAAATCTAGATCCAATTAGTCAAGTTTGTCACGTAAACAGAACGTGCCAATTCGCTACTAGTACAGCACACCGGTGTGTTGGAGAGCAAAGCCACAACATTTACAATCTGAGTACGACGTTTCGCCAGTAATTACAACAGCCAGATTTGTGGAGAAGTCCTCCTGTTTCGTTCCTTAAATAATTAATCGTACGTGTATCAAGGCTTCCCCTTTTGATGCAAAGGGTTTATCAGGGGCAATGCAATCGCTGCCGCAGAAACCTGAATCCTTCTTGAGGCTGAAGGAGGAATCCAATGAGCTATGAAGCTCTTTTTCACAGATGTCCAGCAGGGGCGGTTCAGAAAGTTACAACAACAAACTAAACCAAAACAGATAGGAGTGCAAAGTATAGGAATGGTAAGCAGGTCATTAAAAATAAGTGAATAAACAGACGCAAATAAATAAAGTTTAAGTACAAACTGCAGAAGTACATCGATTTTTCAACAACAAATGCAAACTTGGGCGAGGCAACAAAACAACAAAAACAGTCCCAGACCAGGGAAAGACAACACACAGTAGTCCTCAAAAACAACTGCACATTCAAGCGGAACTGTCGATACAACAGGCTAAAAGGATCCAAGTTGGGAGGCCGCAGTGCGTGTCATTATCCAATCGTGCAAACTACCTGAAACACATGTTTACCACGTGTATGTGTTTATGTGTGTGTGTGTTGGGGGTATGTGTGCAATTTTAGTGTTTCTGGGGCCAATAGGGTTACCCTAACGAGATTCTCCGTCTTTGAACTAAGCATGAAACGAGAGACTAATTTTTTAAGCGTGAAGATTAAAGCCTCGGGGGGGGTTGGGCAGGAAGTGTCCCCCCTTGCAGGCAGGATGGCGAACGCCGTTTCTTTGTACGTTAAACTTCTTTCGCACCGCACGTAGCCAACCGCGCTAATCCGAGTTGCGGGGGAAGGACAACAAACTAAACACAAAAGCAGTTGTGTAAAAAGAAACGAGTTTTCAATATAGATTTAAAAGAGCGTAGCTCCAGCGGCTTCCTACCATCGGAAGAGCGTTCCAGACGGCCGCAGAAGCGCATCGGAAAGCACCGCAGCGATGCGGTGACCCTCTTTGCTCGCCGGCCAGCCAAAAGCCGCTTACCCGGCGCCTGGCAGTTGAAGATTTCGGGAGCGAAGACGCAGCGTCCCGTCTCCTCCGCCACGAAGGCATAGTCCAGCTGGCCAAGGCCGCTCACCGCCGGCAGGAACAGGTTCCACAGGCCCGCCGCCTTAGCCCTGTCCTGAAGCGGGCCGCCGTACAATACAGCAGGGCGGCAGTTTAAACCACAAAAACATCTTAAACGTATCTTCTTGGTTCTTTCGGTAAAGTCACGTAGAATGGAAACGATAAAAGTAATAAAATAAAACGTAATCAAATAATTATCACGACGTTTCGGCCACAACGCAAGCAGCCGTCATCAGGTGAAGACCAGGTCTATTTTTATTGTTTCCATTCTACGTGACTTTACCGAAAGAACCAAGAAGATGGATCCCTGCAGTCACGAAAGCTTTAAATCGAAATCTTAAACGTAATTTAACGTGAAGATAATTGATTCAATATGGCAGGGAATTGGGTGATGATGGAATGTCTCGGTGAGAACAAACTGTACAAGAGTCAAACTGTGTTGTTTAAGAATAACTAAGGGGGGGGAAACTAAATAGATGCAGTTTATTCCATCACCTATTTTGCTTAAGTCAGAATGCGTTTTTGCCATCTGATGTATACCTGCTGCTGTGTTCGTGTATGTGTACAAGCAGCTCTGCGTGTGATGCAGCTCTGGAACTATTTTGGTCAAAGACAAAAACAAATAAAAAAGGCTCTTCTTCTTCTTGCCGACCCCAGCAATGCACGGTGTTCATAAAATCACCTTTCCCATTTTAAATGTAAATTGAAAAAAAACACCCAAAACTAATTAGACAATAAAACGAGCGGTTAGCGCAATCTTTGTAGCCCAACGCCAAGAGTTTTTATTGACACTGCCAGCCGACTTGCACGTGTGAACCGTCAGTAGCTCTCGGCACGTCCGACGTTCAATTTCAATCCACGGTGCCTGCAACAAGTTTTTCACGGTCGCCGGTTTGCGGGTTTGCTCCGCGCACAGGAGTGCGAACCGTAAGTAAACGGTGTCAAGGAAAAAAAACCGATCTTGAATCAGGCTACAAGATGATGCCAATTGCTCTTTTTTAATGTCTTATCAGTAGTTTTAAATGAACGGTCATCCTCGCAGCAGCGACGTTTGGCTGGCCATCGAACAAAGACGGTAAATGCATCGTGCGCTTTCAAATGCGCTTCTGCGTCCGTCTGGAACGCTCTTCCTTCCGATATTAGGAAGCCACTGGAACTATGCACTTTTATATTATATACATTGAAAACTCGTTTCTTTAGAACTGCTTTTTGTTTCTAATTGTTGTCCTTCCCTCGCACCTCCGATTAGCGCGGCCGGCCACGTACTGTGCGAGAGAAGTTCAACATACATGCAAACACCCAACCACGGAACCAACGCCCGTCCGTATTCATAGAGAGGCTCCTCTCTCTCCCTCTCCAGGGTGGCACCTTGAGCTGCTGGATGATGGGAGGGCGTTTCCACCGCAGTGGGGACGAGGCGTGCTGATGGTAGTACTGCAGCACCTCCTGCGGGACGCAGAGGGGCAGCGCACGTCACCGACCGTGCCCAGCTCTCCTCTGGGTTCCGTAGTCCAAACAATATCACCGTGTCCGCGTCCTCAAACAAGGCTTTCCCAGGCTAAGAAAATTCATAAGTAATGCCACTTATTTACTTAGTTGAGTTTTACGCCTTGTGAAGAAGGGCAATTACCCGAAACTTTTCCTTTCAGAAATTTCCTTTTTTAGCACCACAGTGTTTTTGATTATTGTGCCGAGTTTAGTTTTTTAGTAAAGTCTTATGTCTTCTTGGTTCTTTCGGTAAAGTCACGTAGAAGGGAAATAATAAAATAATACAAATAAAACATAATAAAATAAAATAATTCTCACGACGTTTCGGCTACAACGCAAGCAGCCGTCTTCACGTGACTTTACCGAAAGAACCAAGAAGATGAATCCCTGCAGTCACGAAAGCTTTAAATCGAAAAGTCTTATGTCTCAAGGGTCCAACATTGGGATGTTTGGCCAATCCTGGTTAATGAGAGTGTGGCTTGTTGGTCACACCTCAGGGGCCACACAAGTAGCTTCAAGAATCCATTTGATTCAATTACCTCTCCTGGCCACCTCGCATCCCGAGCCTCCAAAGCACCCGGTATTCTTAACCATTTCCCATTCCGATTAAGTACTAAAATAACGGGGGAGGGCGTGTGGCACAGTTTTGGCGCCAGCTATCGTAGAGTGCGGTCGTGTCGCTACGGTCATCTGCGGTGAGTACGATGTCTTAAAAAAAAAGTTTTTGCGCGATGCTTCTCTAAATAAAAATGTACGCCAACCGCTTGCGCAGTTCCCAGATTCAGCGGTGAGCGGGGCAACCCACCCTTCGACTTGCAGACATCTCGGAACAGGAAAGGGTTAAGTTAAGCAGGCTCCAGACCTGGGATCACAATTTAGAAATTGTAACGGACTGCATATTGTTGTTGTATTTTCAGCAAACAGAACTGCCAAAGATCTACCGTATTTATAATTGAGCCCATGTCTGTCCTGAGAATTATGAAAGTCTAAGTCTAAGAAGGGACTACGAGACTGTTGTTGATATTCCACTATCTAGTACCTATGTTATCGACCCTGTAAGCATGATGGCCTCGGCTGCCCTCCACGATCTGGAGATCTGATGTCACCACGTCCCCAGTACGAGACTGTACACTCGGCCATGGTACGACTGCACCGTCCGGATTACAAAAAAAATCAACAGGACAAATTAATTCCTGTTCCCATTGTCTGCATACCCCCGAATGTGTTTCCATGCTCTCCTGTCAGGCGTGGCCAGTAGATTGATGGGGAAAGTTTCATCTGCAACCATAAATTTTGTACCAGCTGTTACGGGCACACCCCAAGCGGGTGAGCGTTTGGATAACAGAGAACAACATGCTGACGCATTTGCTCTCTCGGAGGAAGTGTGGTTGAGATCATTCCGAGAACTAACGGCGCTTATGTCCAAGAGAAAAAAACATGAAAAACGGGGGCGACAGGGTGGGTGGTGCAGTGGGAACACATGCGCATCGCAGCAAGGGCCTGGGTTCGATTCCCCACTTGAGTGACTTTCTGCTCTAGTTTCCTCCAGCTTCTGCGGTTTACTCCATAGCTAAAAAAAAAAAACCATCCCATCTAACTGGTATCACAGCAACAAGCGCCTGAGTTCGAATCCCGATCCGGGTGGCTTTCTGTGTTCCGCTCGAGTTTCCTCCGGTGTGCTTCGGTTAACTCCAAAGCTAAAATAAAACGGTATAATGTAACCGATATTATCCCAAAACATCCCAGTGCTGAGGGATTATCTGCAAATCACTCACTTGCGATTATACAAAGCAGCAACACCTCCCCCCCCCCCCACTCCTCTTGCCAAAACTTGAGAGGACCCTCCTGCAAAAGCCTTCTGAGAGTCAGCGTAGCTTTCCCGGGTAAAAAAGCATAAACGATTTGAGAAAATGAAATGACAGCTTCTCAAAAGCCTGAGGCTCACCGGCTCTGCAGGGTAGATATGCTCGCGGAGGAAGGCCCGGACCTTGTCGAGCATCAGCTGGCCCACTGGGGAAGGCCTGAAGAGCTCAGGGGAACTGAACTTCCCTTCGACCTTGGCAGGCACCCTGCTGTAGAGAGAAACAGGCTGTGTGCTTTACGCATCAAGTGCAGATGTATGAATGTACGTTGAACCCCTCTCGCGCCGAACGTAGCCAACCGTGCTAATCGGAAGTGCGGGGGCAGGAGGATAAACTTTAACGCAGCTGCGGTAAAAGCGCAACTTTTTTTGCAGTGTCGGCGATCAGAAAATCACGGAGCGTGTCAATTTGATTCGTCTTTGCACAACGATGAAATAAACGCCATGACAAGTTAGTGGGAGTTTTTATTATATTTTCACGACAACTTAAATGTACTTTAGAGTCGAAAGGTTGGCGACGAGACTCACGCTGTGGCTAAAGCGAGCGCCGTCTCGGCCAGAGGCTGCACGGCGCCGCAGAACTGGGAGGCGTTCTCCGCGCTGGCGTTGCCCAGCAGGTGGCGGGCGTACACTCCCTGTGCGCCACACCGCACCGCGCCACACCACGCCGCACCACACGGATTAACCCGATCAAGCAGGCATTATGGAGTTCTTCATTGGCACTCGTAAGTCAGTGGTGAAAACCACGCACAAAAGCGACGGGTCTCCTGGCAGGTTGAGTCAACACCTGAATGCGATTTTGACTCGACAAAAAAAAAACCCTGACAAATATCAGTCAACTGGTATGTCCACACATGCACTGAACTGTATCAACGCGATCAGAGCGTCACTGTGATTTTATTTGATCGAGTTTCAAAAGGACGGTGGCGTTGATTCGATTTCTGTTATATGAAGGGGATTATGGAGAGCCATAAATAAACTCGTTGAAAGAATTCCGCTTTTAAACATTGGTCCGAAAATATCGCTAGTCCAGTGGACTAAAATATAATATTAACAATGTCAAGGGTGAGAGCAAGGCCACCGTTAACCAGAGTCAACAATGCGTTGTTTTTCGGGGCGACGCGCTGTTCATTTGGTGCGCTTGGCTAACTGTGTCCGCGTACTTGGGCAATGGAAGCGATCTTGAACAGAGCCAAGGCCATGAAGAAATTCCAGTGGGGCAGGGGGGACGCTGGGCGTTTCCCGGCAGCGGCAGTACACGGACAGGAGCTCGGCCTCCTGTGGGAACTCCTGACAACGCACGGGGGCGAGGGGCAGGGCGGGCGTGGTGGGGAGGCATGACAAAGAAAACAGCTCATGCCACTGGACTTCGATCCGTATCGCGCAACTTTTGAAACAGTTAACAATTTGCGCGTAACATTTTTTTGCTAGAATACACGATGATCTCCATTCTGCGATCGCATGATGGCGTAACCTGCTCGGATATTTTTCGTAGAATATTGTTCGTTTTTCAATGCAGGGTACAGTAATGAGTGGATGCATGCCTTTGAAAAATTGGGTGAAAGGCGGTGTTGCATCCTTCTCAGCTGAAAGTCCACAACAACGTCGTCGGGCTGATAAAATCAACAAAATGCCACGGCGAAATGACATACAAACCTTTGCTCTTCTCCCTGCCAAGTTGAACTCAAATACCCCGAGACTCCAGGCACGGCACTGCGATAAGAGCTGAAACTCGCAGTAAATTCCTCCCCTTCTTCTTCTTCTTGTTCTCCCCACCATGTTTCCCCACTCACACAGGGCCAGCCGTTTCTGCCCCTCTATCGCCGCATATATTTTGGCCAAACAAAATTTCTGATCATGAATTGTACTTGAGGACCCGAAGCCGGAACATCACAAAGGAGAAAAAAAACAACAACAAAGACTGCGATGGCTGGAGTGGCCACGCCCTACGAATAGAACAGAAGCGCAACCCTAAAATTGCCCTGAGATGGACGCCTCCTGTGTTGTGATCGAAACGTCGTGATTTTTTTTTCCTATGTGCCTTTATTGAAAGACCCAAAGAGTATGAATTCCTGCAGTCACGAAAGCTTTAAGTCAAGATCAGGGGCGGTTTCTTCATTAGGGCGATTGGGCGACGCACCGCCAATGTCATTCAACCACAGAGTCACGCTAGCCGTCACTGTGCCTCTGGATATAGTCCAATCAGCGTCATGTCACGTTCTGTGGAGTACCGCCTCTTTTTGGGCGATTTCACTCCGGCTGAGAATCGCCCCGAGTGGCCCCATAGACTTACATTCAAAGATGTTTTTTTTCGACCGGGGGGCGCTGCAATGCATTCTCTATGGCTTCCGGGAGGGCTCGCCCTAACGTGCTTACGTCATCATACGTAAGCACGTTTCATCCAACAATATAATTTGTCGCCACCTAGTGGAATCTTTAATAAAAGAAACTTGAGTGGATTGTATTAATAGTGAGTATAGAAACAAACAAGATGTATTGTAAGAGTCACTTTATTTTTCATTAATATTAAAGAAGTGAAGTTGCCTTTACATGCTTAAGCTGTTAATTTATCCATTGCATGGGTGGACCTTATCCTTATCAATCATCCAGACATTTGCCCCCCCCTGAGAGATTTTGCAGGAGCCGCCACTGGTCAAGATTCATTCGCTTAGAATTGCTTTTTGTGTTTAGTTTGTTGTCCTGCACCCGCACCTCCAATTAGCACGGTTGCCTACATACGGGCGAAGAAGTTCAACAAACATATATCAAAGAATCGCCGAACTGCGACTGGGGTGATGTCCAAACCAACAAATGGCAACATCCTGGTGGTGCGGTAACGCTGTGATCCGCACAGTGTCTCTGCCGTTGTCTCCTTGGACTGGTTGAACAAACATAGCATTCAACCATAACGTGTTTCAACACTGTTCCTTTTCCCTCCTGCCATATGAAACATAAAAAAATCTGCAAAGTCCTTCGTACCCTGGTTCACCACCTCACACCGTCGCCCCTCGCCTCTCGGTCCCCACCCTGCTGCTTCTTCCCAGTTCCGTCACCTTTGTTCTTTGGATGTAATTTTTCCTCCACTCCATATGGCTTTGTTAAACATGAAGACACAACTCACCGGGCACGGTTGGGATGGGGACGCTGCCCAGTACCGAGGTCATGGCACCAGTTGGGAGCTGGTGGTACGGCAGGAAATTGTAGGCCAGGTCAGCCAGCGGGTGCCCGATCGTCGCCAGCTCCCAGTCCAATACCGCGATCACACGAGCCTGGGGATGCAAGCGTTTTGACGCGCACAAGACAAGCCACCGGTCACCAACTGCCACCGACTTTCGTCAGCGATGGTCTTCGCTTTCTACGCGGGCGTTCATTGCCTGGCCCGAAGGCGCCGTGGCAAGGGAGCCAAAGACACAGTCGGAAAGGTTCGTGTTAAAATCACGGCTGCGGGTCGATTCACGCATTCATCCCTCTAGGGTCAATACATTTATCACGACTCTGTGAACGGCTGGCCTGTTGAGACTGGCCCTGACCACAGCGATGTATGCCGCTGATGGAGATGAGCACATCGCTCTCCTCCTAAGTTTTATTTATATATGGCCATGGAAGTTAAACTTCAGGTCTTTAATTGGGCATACGGTGTCAGATAAAGTGGAGTTCTGAATTCATTGTAAGCGTAACTCTACAGTACATTATGGGATGGCCACACTTTTTAAACTCTTTTTAACTCGATGGTCTAAACGACGATACATCCACGCATTCAGTGCTCTTGAGCTCGTGGTGTGGGCAAGGCCGAGGGAGCTTTTGCCCCCCCCCCCCCCCAGCGCTGCGCATGATACGTGTGTTGTTGGGTCTATGCGTACCTCTGTGGGGTGATAAATCAGATTGTCTATCCTGAAGTCTCCGTGCACAAGCTTCGCTTCGCTGTCGTCGCCCGGAAGGTTTTTCTGCAGCCAATCGGACAGCTTGTTCATGCTGTCGATGTCCGTGTGTGCCGCGGCGTTGTATTGCTTGGTCCAGGTGAGCACCTACGGACACGCGTTCCAAGGTTGCTTCACTTCATGACGTAAAAAACAAAACAAAAAAACAACATACGCCGCCGAAATTGTGCACTCCCAGAAATGTGGTGCGGCTGATATGGGTTGTGTGAGAAATAATTTGATATTTTTACGTAGCGAGATGAATATTAAAAGGAGAGACGGATTTTCTTCCCATCATATTATTTTTAACTAGTTTATTTTTCAATTCGTTTTGGCTCATTGCGGCTGTGAAAATTAAAAATGTGGTTTAATTGTTACATGACGAACACCCTTTTATATATGGCCATAGGAGTCAAACTCCAGTTTTTAAATGGGTATATACTGGGCAATCTATCTACGTCACTTTAGCGAAGACCCAAAAAATTTAATGGACAACCGGTGACGATGATGACGATGATGTCGCATGGAGACACAGGAACATTTTGCCGTATGATCTTAGGTTTTGATATCCAGGCAAGAGGAAGGTACACAGTGAATCTTCAGAGACGTTCCTGGGGAGTCAGCACCATGGATAGCCGAACACCTTGGCACTGCCAAGTGATCGTAGCTCACACGCTCACGAAGACCACGATCCGCCGCAGACACTGTTGGGACAAGTGCTGTTAGCGAGCACCATCTGGTGTTTGGTTACTGTGAGCGAAAATAGAACTTGAGCCCCCGGGTTCAGTAGCGCAGCGCACCAACTGCTACGCTACACCCCACGATCATACACAACAACAACCGCCATTCGCCATTAAGTGGCGGTGACGTCACCACGACGCTTGTGCCAGGCCAATGTGCACCTTGAGGCCATAAGCACACACGTACACACACGTACGTACACGCACGTACACACGCACCTGTCGTTTGCAGTATCCTCCTTTCTTGCCAAAGCCACTGAGACCGAGGCCCTCCCAGTCCAGCGAGTGGAGCCTGGCCAGGGTCTCGATCATGGCCACGTACAGCGCCGCACGCTCGGCCGGGCTGTGCCCCGGCAAGGCCGGATCTCGGAATATGCGGCCCTAGGGCGCAGACACGGGCGGTGAGGCTGTGGCCCATCGGTGACGCGTTCTCTTTGCCTTTGACTTTATGACTTTGAAAACCCCTCGTCCACCTCCTATGCATTTCACAAGTAGTGACTAATCCCATATCTGCCTTTCCCATAAATATGCTAAATTCGTCTTGATATGCGAATTCCTTTGTCAAGGCGCTCTTCCCCCTCCAACCCAGCTTAAATATACGCTGCCAAACCTGGTGGTGTTTCATTCAGACGCTGTCTTTCCGACAGACCTGTTCTTCACTTGAGGACGGCTGCCTGCGTTGTGGCCGAAACGTCGTGAGAATTATTTTATTATTTTTATTTGTATTATTTTATTATTTCCCTTCTACGTGACTTTACCGAAAGAACCAAGAAGATAAATCCCTGCAGTCACGAAAGCTTTAAATCGAAATCTCTCTGCCTTGTTGCAGGGGTTCGCGGGTCGTATGTACGTATGTTGAATTCATTTCGCACCGTACGTAGGCAGCCATGCTAATCTGAAGTTCGGGGGAAGAAAAATTCATCGCAAAAAGCAGCTCTAAAGAAATGAGTTAGTAATCTAGATTTCAAAGTGCATAGCTCCCAGTAGCTTCCTGATATCGGAAGGAAGAGCGTTCCAGACGACCGCGTTAGTGCATCTAAATGCGCGCGATGCGGTGGCCGTCTTTGTTCGATGGCCAGATAAAAGCTGCTGCTGCTGCTGCGAGGATGACCAGAGTTCGCGTCATGGTGGTTTACGCTCCGTTGACGAGATCAGCAGCAAGGTAATTGTGGTTCATTTGTGGCAAGCACTTTGTGTGTTAATGAGTGCGACCTTATAATGTGTCATGAATGCGACCGTATTACTGTGCCGCCCCCCCAGTAAATAATTATTAGTGTGGTTGTGTGGATTAACCGTTAAAATACTACCCGCCGCGTGCTTCATCACAAGCGGATGCTAAGGAGACAGTGACGGCCGTTCAGACGAGTGGGCCGTAGCGTGCCGGGGGGGGGGGGGGGGTGTCACAGTCCAAATTTGGCAAATTTGGACAAGTGACAAGAAAGTTACTCAATTTGAGCATAGAGTATGTGGGTAATGGTCGCCCCCTACTGCGTAAACTTGGTAAGGCCCTTCTGATACAAAAAAAAACATGAGACTCAGGCTTTTCTGGGTAACCAATAAAAAAAAATGTATAAAAACATGGGCCACAAGGCTAATAATAACTAATGAACAAGCAATGCACACAAACGTTGTTACCGCGTGGTGCTTCACTGGCTAGCGTGCCACACCGTGAACCCAGTGACCCGAGTATTGATTTCCAGCGACGGTTAACATCAGTGGCGAGCGATGTCGGAATGAGTCCTGCCCTGCACCCCCCACCCCACCCCCCTTTTAAACACCCGCGCTGACGAGCGTGGTGAAGTATGGTTAAAAAAAACCCATGCCTGTCATGGTGTGGACGTTCTTCTGTTTGTGGATTCAGGAGAATGGCTGAAATAAATTGCCATTCATTTATTGCAGGACAGTTCCACTGGGTCAAACTAATTATGGACTAAACAATATTTGAGATTAGATGTAGGTGGTTGACAGTGCAGAAGGTGCGTGGAACGATGCACCGGTTCATCGACATCGATTCTCGAGCTCACGACACATGAGATGAATCGCATACAAAGTGCCGTATATGCAAGAATGTTATCTTTTCGATTCACGTGCGTTGCATGTAAAGGGTTAACTTCTATCACCTGTGCAGCTCCCGAGAGACGACGCCAGCACTCACTTAAAAATGAATACAAGAACCAATTCTTGACTTGAATGAACGCCCGGAAGTGATAATTCAATCTAATGGCCACGGGTGGAGATGGAAAGGGTGGTACATGGTTGCAACCCCGGGCGCAGCAGTCTGACCAGGCACGTGCCCTTGCTCCAACGAGCAATCAGGAGACATACCTCGACGTGCTCCATCACGTAAAATGGAGTTCCGATGATGGACTTGTCTTGGCAGTACAGAAGTGGCCGGGGCACAGGAAACCCCACGGAGCTCAGGGCTTGCTGCACCCGAAACTCCCTGTCCACCTGCATGATGACACGCAACTCATGGGCACCGCGATGTACAAGGTCAGACTCGAAGCCTTGTCCCATTGCTCTGCCTACAAATGAATGTTCCCACGTCTTTGGTCAGTACAGAAAGTCACCTTGCGCCAGTTTCTTCCTCTCCCTACCTTGTCCCTTCATTCACCAAAAAATAAAAAACACCTGCCCCCAGGATGCTCTTCCCCATAACCGACTTTCCATTTCCTTCTTGTACATCACCCTGAGATGCAACTGCATGATTCCACCTTGTACAGTCTAAATGCACAGTTGTTGACCATGTGCATTTGTTTTTGAATTGCATTGTTTTTTGTTTTTGTTGCTGTTGCTGTAACCGGGTTTCTCTTGTGCAAGCGGGGAACATCCCGAGTGGCCGAGACGCCCCTTGACGCATGGGGCGAACGAGGGCCACGTTAGCAGCATGCTGGAGGGGCTAATGGCAAGAACGTTGCCACACAAACTACCACTGCACGTGGCCGAACCCTCAAAATCAAATGTGGGCCAGCAGGTTTCAAGTGTGTTTGTTTGGAGATGAGGGCCACCGAATGCCTGACTGATGGGTGAAAATAAAGATCCCCCCCCCTTGCAGCCTTAACAGACTTTTGGGCCAAGTGCAGTTAGCGAGCACCTATCAATGTCGGTACGGCACACGAGGGGGCGGTTGGCCAGCATCACGCCCGGCTACCTATCTCGCCAGTGGCGTTGTTTACACGTCGCACCAGGTACTCAATTGATGCTTAGTCGACCTAGGCGAGGCCCAGGACCGATTCAAATATTCGCCACTGATGTTCGCCTTGAGCGGGAATCGAATCCGGGTTTCCGGGGGTTTTGTAGTGCAGCACACTGACCGCTACCCGCGCACACAGACACACACACACACACGCCGACTTTGCGCTCTGCAAATCGAGAGGGCACGCGACCACCCCCTTGCTCACACACCTGGTGAGCTCCAGGCAGGAGGGCACCGGGAGGACTCTTGCGCAGTACCAGCTCCTGTCCCGCGGCCGTGCGGAGGTAATACGTGGGGTTGGACTGACCCGCGCTGACAAGACAGGGTCATGTGGGTGGGTGGGGGGAGACAATCAGGTTAGAGCCGTTAGCGGAGCTTCGTCTGCGCACAAACGTTCCCGACACATCACAGAATATTGGTTGGTTTTTGGCAATTGCAGTACAATTGTATCTCCCCACCGCCCCCTCCCCAATGCCTCTTGAGTCTATCTGGCTGAACCAGGCCAGGTGGCATCGTTGGTGAAGAATGCAACTCACAATGAGGTGAGCTGTAAGTTCAAATCGGGAGTTTTACTGACAATAATAGTTTCAACTTGGAACGCGCCACGCAATATTCTCTTTCTCACAAGGCGCGAGGAACTGCAAGCAGGAAAGCAGCCAGGGAGCGAGCCGGCGTCAACAATTGCCCACGCTCTGCAGTCCTCTCTATATGAAGGAAACCCGAGCATCTGCGAGGAGGAAACACTCTACACCATAGAGACGGTAGGGGTCCACATTTTTCGCTCAACGGTGGAGTACTGTGTCCTGCCTTCGCAACAAATGTGCAATCCACCAACCCTCGCATCCACAGCACTGGATTACCGACGCGGCCCATCATGATGCGAGTGGTCCGCCAAATGGGGCCGTCCATAAATGACGTCACACGATTTTGGACAATTTTTGATCCCCCCCCCCCCTCGTCACACGGCGTCACAAAAAGTCAGATCCCCCCCCCCTCAAATATGACGTCACAAAGCTCTGCCCCCCCCAAAATAAAACATGCTTCAAATCGCTTTAAACTATTGTAATTGTAGTGCGTATTTAATGTGGCGCTGCACTCTGATGTTGTAGGAGAAAACATTTATTAAAAAGTCTATTTAATTAAGTAGAACGTGTTGTCTATATTTATTTAAAGTTGCGCATTTTGATGTAACGTCACATTTCTCAAACCTCCCCCCCCCTCGTCACACATCGTCACAAATGTCTGACCTCCCCCTCCTAAGTGCGTGACGTCATTTATGGACGGCCCCAAATGCGTATCGCGTATTTTTTAAATCCTTTATATTAAGTTCGCTTGCTTGCTTGCTTGCGTGCTTGCTTGCTTACGACCGTGCAAATCTTTCGGTCGTGTTTTAACCCACTTCCCGTGATACAATCGAGCTGACATTTGGCACACAGACTCGTTGTGCGAGACAATTAATGTTCGTGTAAAATTTTTTCCAAATTTTTACACTGTTTAGGGAAAACAAATTAAATATTTAATTACCAATTGCTTAATACTGGCAGACAATCATCTGACCCATAGGTGGCAGCCATCTCAAGCCAGAGGACGAGAGGACTCTAGCCGCCACGCATATAAAGGATTTAGAGTGAAAAACTTTGTTTTTACGGGTTATACTTTTATGGGTCAACAGTGCGGAAAGTGTAAATGTGAAATTGCCACCGCTGGGTGCGTGCCGCAAAGTTTGCTCTTGTAAAGGAGACACTTTATCCGGACTTCTCAGACGTTGGTTTAACACTTGGCCGTGTTGCAGTCCGTGTGTGTGAGTGGCAAAGACAAAGATCCCCCGCATAGCCTTTAACAGCCTGTCGAGGCAAGTGCTGTTAGCGGTAAGCGCGCTGCGCTACGAACCCGGCGACCCGAGTTCGATTCACACCGGGTGACGATTACCTGAACAGATCCTGGGCCTCCCCTAGGTCGACTCAGCCTCAAATGAGTACCTGGTGTGGCGTGTTAACATCACCACTGGGGGAGACAAAGGCGGCCGGGCGTGGTGTTGGCCACCCACCCCCCCTCGCTTGCCGCGGCCGGCCTTCACAGGTGCTGCTCGCTTACAGCACTTGCCCCAACAGTCTGTCGCAGGCTACACGGTGGACCTTTGTCTTTGTGTGCGAGTGGCACCTGTACTGACGCACGGAGAGAGGCCCCCAGGGCCCAGGGCGAGCCGGGAGATTGCGCTGCAGGAATTCCTGGAGGGCTCTCACGTCCAGAGGGATGCGGACCTCTGTGCTGTCTGCCATCTCTGCGTGGACAGAGCTTTTGCCTTCTGCGTCTATGGAATGTCTCCCCCTTTGATCGCTCGCTCGCTCTCGATTTCGTCCGCAGTCCACAGTCCACGGACACTGTATCGGAGTCTCCTCCCTCTGCATGGATCTGGGGTCATTCCGCCCCACGGTGACCCCACGCGGTCGAGCAGCGTCTCTTCCGCAAGCCGTGGGTGGGTTGGTTGTGGTGTGGATTCCACTCCCCTCCTCCGTCGACTTTGCAACAGAGGGGCAGGGACACGGCGAGTTTGCGCCGCTAGAGTGCGCTACTAAGACAAAGATCCACCTTCAGCAGACTGTTGGGGCAAGTGCTGTGAGGGGGGGGTTGGAGGTCAGATATTTGTGACGATGTGTGACGAGGGGGGGACGGGGGGTTTGAGAATTGTGAGATCACATCAAAATGCGCAACTTTAAATAAATATTAATTAAATAAAATTGTTATAACAACACAAATTTTGATAAATTTTCATCATTAACTATTTGATTATTTAAATTTACTAAGGTCAAGTTTTATTTATTCCATGAGAGAATGGAAAAGCATACATTTTGTAAATTTGTTGAATGATTGTTATTTTTTAAAAATATTCTAATGATCCTACCAGAGCTTTTCATTCTGTGGAATGAATATGTGATTGTTATAATTGTACTCTCCATTTTGCTTAGTTCTACTACAAAGTTTCAAGTATATCAATATCATATTCTGAACATCTGCAGTTTTAGTTAGACGGTGAATATTTTCAAGTGAATTGCATACTAAATTTCAGCTTTCCAACGCCTCCTTTTTAATGTGTTTTCTCCTACAACATCAGAGTGCAGCGCCACACTAAATACGCACTACAATGACAATAGTTTAAAGCGATTTGAAGCATGTTTTATTTTCAAAATGGGAAGAAAAAAAATTTGGGGGGGGGGGGGCAGAGCTTTGTGACGTCATATTTGAGGGGGCTCTGACTTTTTGTGACGGCCAAAATCGCGTGACGTCATTTATGGACGGCCCCTAACCGCTATAATTCCGTTTAGCACGTAGGCTTTCGCGACCAATATCATCCATAATACAGGTTTTTTTGGGGGTTAAATCGCGTAAATATATGTGGTGTAGTGACATCGGCGCTGTCTAGCTCAGTGGGCCTTACCTGGTAAAATGAAAACAGTTTACAGTTTCACTCCACTTGAAAACCCAATTTAATCACACGCAGTTGAAATCTGGATTTGAACCCAGATCCCAATGGTGACAGCCCAGTGAAAATCCCTCTCTCCCCCCAGCCACTTCATCTTATTTACACTTTTCATTGGGTGTGTGTGCATGTGTCGAGTAAATGTGTTAAATGTGTACTTTACCATTTGGAATGTATGATTATTTTTAAACTAGTTTGTAAGTGCTTCAAGAGTTATGATTGCAGAACATAAATCTATTGGGGAACAACTTATTCTCGGGAGAGAGGCCTGCGACCATACGATGATCAATCGCCCAATTCCGTTGTGCCAGAGATTATAATCTCGGCATTAAGGCACTGATGAGGCTCGCTATTGTCTAAATATAGCTAAGTAGTCTTTTGCCCACCAAAGAACGGGTGTATTGCAGTAAATCTGAAACTTGCAAGCGAAAAGCAGACCGCGACGTGATATTCATTGCATCCATTCGTGTGCAATTTGTAAGGCCGCGGTGACACAGACTTGTTTCATTCAAAGGTTATAATCCCTTGTTCGTCACGACGTCCTTTTTACTTCGAGGTCTCAACAGCGTTACGCAGATCGCGTGACGTGAGGGTTCTGCCTTTGTAGTGAGGGTTGTAAGTTGACGCCGAGGAGAGGAGAGGAGGCGCCTCGCCCCCCCCCCTTCCATGTGGAGTGACGTCACCCGCTAATTATTATTAATGCTATGGTGTCCATTTGGAGGACGTCACCTGTTCATGATTATTAATGAGGGGGGCTGTTCAATGTGGAGTGACGTCACCTTCTCATGATTATTAATGAGGGGGGGTTCTCCATGCGAAGTGACGTCATCCACTCATGATTATTAATGAGGGGTGGGGGGTCCGTGTGGAGAACGTCACCTGTTCATGATTATTAATGAGGGGGGCTGGTCGACGTGGAGTGACGTCACGCGCGGGACACACAGATATTCTTGGCTCATTATAGTAGTAAATAATGTCACAGCCTATAACATCCTCTTCATGGAAGATGGCATTCTTTGATGATATTCTGCATGTCTGGTCGAGTTGAGATGTTAATTTACGTTTGATACTTACGTGAGTAGAATGTACTCTCAACAGGTATAATGCATTGTATTGAAGTCACGAGTCATTTTGATAAATGCCCGACAATATTTAAAGATAACCTATGGGGAGATGCATAAACGAGAGCCTTGCACTATTTTACTGCAATGTTGCAATGAACTACCGTACAAAAACTTGGTCTAAAAATAAAATAAAAACTGCGAACATGATGCAAGAACAAAAAAACCTGAGAGAGGTTTATTAATGAAAATATTTTTAAAACCTTGCACTCAAAATAAACAAAAACAACACACTGTGGCACACCTTATGAACGTACCTGAACAGACTCCAAGGATCACGTGACCTCTCCTTAACCGCGCGTGCGTGATCGTTTTTTTCTCATGCAAACTCAACCTTTGCAGAGTAATTATTGTTCTGTGCGAGTTAAACCCTCATCAACTGGCTCGTGTACACAGCCTCTATTCCGCTATAAATCCACGCAGGCTTCTGTTTGTAGACAAAATGTTGTTATTGTTTTTTACTCCGTTAGTGATGAAACAAACTGAAGCTTTCAACAAATGAATTCGAATATTAACACAGCATGTACTTTTTGGGAAAAACTAACTTTCATCTGAAAATGTTCAAAACATTATTTCACAGATGCGTGGCCTTTTATTTCGGCCAGCCCATCATCCTTCGCCATGGTGTAGAAGATGCCCCTCTTCTTCAGGAGAGCAGCCGTCGAGCACCATGACTCTGAAAGCGACACACACAGATTCCCACTGGCCATGCCCACATCAGCACCTGTGCCTAGTAACTAATGGCCACCAGTTATTCCCGGCCAGATGCCAATCTCGAGGGTTGTAGTGTCCTGTGTGAATTGCCAGCAAAAGTGGCTATTGGCCACGTGTTCTTGCCAAAAGAAGCGGCTGGAAATGGTGCTACCTGCAAAGGTGGGAATAGCATCCAATTAAAGCAAATTGCCAATCCACTTCTAGATGAAGACGTTCCCGAGGCTCCGATATGGAACAATATTTAAACATCAGTAAAAGTATTCTTGAAGTTATGTCTATGTTTGTATAACATAGACATAATTTCAACCGAGAGGATGGATTCAAATTGAGCAATCATTGGAAGGATGTAATTAACCAAGTTAAACTTTAGCTGCCGTGAAGTTTACTGCTAGACAGCCAGTTTAGATTTATTTTCATAATCATATCCATATTCCCATTCTGTTATCCCCAGCTTCACACACTACCATCACCATTACCACGTTGTTTTTCATCTTGCGTATTTCTAATTTACCTCCCCCCCCCGGCAGCATAACAAAAGGCTGCTTAATCTTAGCTTTCTTATCTACTTCTGTCTCCTGCATCACAAAGCTTCAGTTTGAACTCCATGCGTTGCCTCCCAGCGTCCGTTGCTTCACAACGTTGTCTCCCAGTCCACAGCCCGCCCACACACTCACCATGGCCCCTCCCCTCCCTCCACCCCCCGCGACTATATAATTCCTCGTCACAGCCATCTCTTAGACACACTTAAGCGGTTGCGCTTTCGCTACGTTGTCCCCGCCTGAAGGACCCTTGTGTTGCGCCCGAAACGTCGTGATTTAATTTAGTTGTTTTCATTCATTTAATTTTTTACCTACGTGACTTTACCGAAAAAAAAATAACAGACTGTTGGGCCAAGTTTTGTTAGCGAGCACCTACGAAGGCCGGCACGGCACACGAGGGGGTGGGTAGTCATGACCACGCCCGGCCGCCTTTGTCTCCCCAGTGGCTATGTTTTTACACACCGCACCAGGTACTCATTTGGGGCTGAGTGGACTTAGGGGAGAAGGTCCCGGACCGGTTTAGAGAATCATCACCGATGTTGGCCGTGAGTGGGCACCGAACCCAGGTCTCGTCGGGTTTGTAGCGCGCAGCGCGCTAGCCGCTGTCCCACCACTCCCCCCCCCCCCCATTGAGGCTCATGCATGCCCGTTCACATCGACACGCAGTCGCTCACGCGCGCATCTCCACACCAATTTGTTACGCGACGCCCCGGAGAGCGGCCAATTAATTGTGAAGACGAGCTGGGGGATGGGGAGGGGGTGCTGGGCACGTGTTGTTTCGGGAGGTGGTGGTGAGAGTGGTGGTGGTGAGGTTTGTCGTGAGTGAGCACACGGGAGCAGACGGATACGTTGCTGGAGAGGCGCGTTGGAGGCTTCGACGCTGGACGGAGGGACCCCATCCCATCGCTGCCCTCACCCCGAGAGAAGCTCAGTGGGGAGGGGAGGAGGCGGAGGCGGCACGAGAGTTAACGCTCTAACCTGAAGACGGTCGTTTGTTGTTGCGATCGAAACGTCGTGATCCATTATTGTTTTTCGACCTACGTGAATTTTACCGAAAGAACCAAAGAGTATAACGCTGGGAGGTGAAGAAGGAGCCGCACGCAGGAGTGGGATGTGTGGGTGGGCAGCGCTGGTGACCTCGACCCCTGTCCACGTGTGATCGATCCTCTCTGCCGTCAACTCGTATCGGAAGGGGGGCAGTTCGATGACCATGTGCACCCGGAGTCGGCGTCTTTGGCGTCTCGCTGTGCCGCTCCCCATCTTCTTACTGCTGCAGCTGCTGCCCGTAAGTGCCCGAGGGGGCGCGGTGACCCCTTTGCCACACACCTCGAGCCACCCCCTTGCTATACCGCAGATGTCCCCCGTGTTGTCGCGATGTTTGATGGTTCAAACCGAGACCCCCCGAATGTATCCATAACTCTCGTAATTGATGAATAATGACGACGATTGCTGAATAATACGAATGACAATAATTGTTATGATGATGGTGGCGGTGATTCGTATTGTTTGAGGATAATGGTTAATGATGATTGACTGATGATAATCATATGTGGTTGATGATGATGGTGATGACGGTGACGACCGCGTTTGCTGTAATCTGCACAGACGAGGATCCTCGTGAGCTCGAGTCCCGACGAGTCGTCTCGGTCCCGCGGGGTCCCTGGCTGGGTCTCCCAGCCCTGCGTCGGGACGCACAGAGGGGACACCAGCGCCTCCTGCGTGGGACACGTGCCCTTGTTACTGATATCAGCAGCACTAGCAGAATCAGGCTTACCATCACTTGTAGCAACTGACGATTTATCAGCATCAGCAACATCAGTTGTAGTAGCAGCAGCAACAGCAGATGAGTCACCATCATCAGCAACCCTATCAGTAGCAGGAGATACAATAACATCTGCGGGGGCAGCAATAGAAACAAAATCATCATCAACAGCGCTCGTAGCAGCAGCAGCGCCAACAGAATCATCACCATCATCAGCAGCTGCAATTCCATCAACAGCATCATCGTCGTCAAGTGTCACCTCAATGCATCTACGGCGGCTCCGAGCGGTGTACGTGCACGGATACAATCAGGGTGCAGGTACCAGTCCTGGTCCAGGTCCAGGTGGCAGACCCCGAAAGCTCTTCAGCTGGGGGGACTTCAGCGCCAGCATCCGCACGTCCCGGCTCCAGCTGCTCATCACGGCGAAGATGGTGGACCACGGCAACGGCTCAGTGAGCGTGCACTTTCGGCACAACGCCACGGGCAGAGGCAGCGTGTCGGTGAGTCTCGGGCCGCCCACAGTGCCGCTGTGCCTCACCCCTCACAGACCCTTCACAAGCCAGCAGCAGCAGGAGCGGCAGAATCATCATCAGCAGCAACAGCAGTGTAGTGACAACCAGCAGTGGGATCATAACCAGCAGAACCAACAGCAGCAGCAGCAGGCTGAGTCAAAGGCGCCCAGGGACACGGAGCCTTTCCGCTGCCGTGTCGAGTACGAAAAAGTGGATCGAGCGCTCAAGAGCGTGCCCTGCACCCAGCCACGCAGGTCGGACCCTGCTGCCAGTTTGAGTCCTGGTCCTGGCATAGGTCCCGGTCAAAGTGCTGGTTCGGTGCCCGGCGCGGGCAGCTCTTGCTACCGCGAGCAGGTTCAGAGTCACGTGTCGTGGATCTGTTCGAAGCCGATCAGCGCATTTTGTATCTACGTCGCATTTCAGGGCACGAACTACCGCCTGGCACACAAAGTCTGCCCGGACCTCCACATGGTGCGTACGCCCAGCGGATGAGCAGTGTGGGACGGGTGGTGGATACAGAAGGTGGACGGACGGGCAGCAAAGGTGACGAACAGACCATGCTGGATAATTATAAGTGTCAGAATGTAGCCCAATTAATTGAAAATGTCGTATTTCAACCATATTCAGCGTAACGTATATGTGTTAACTTACTACCCATGTCGCAAAAAATAACTGGACTATGAATATACGAGAAAGAGAGTTGAATAGTTTCAGTGTTATTCGATATTTTGAGATACATTTTGTTTAATTATATGCATTATATTTATAAGTTTGTTGTGAATATTAGATTGGTACTTTCTTTCTGTTTCAGCAGAAACCTCATTTTCTGATATAATGACAATTCCGCCCATTCACCCGACTTGATGCCTTTAGATCTTTTTTTAATCTCTTTCTTCTTTAAAGTAAGGTCTACAACTAGCAAACCAAGGGACCTTGCATTATTGATGATGCTGTGTCATCATTCATCCCTACAGCGGTCTTGGAAAATGTGTTCTCAGAGTGTAAACGCCGAATTAGATTGATGACAGTGAATGATGGACCACATGTAGAAGTTTATTCAAAATTTGAGAGTATCTAATCAATAGCAGTATTTCGAATTACATTTAATATGTACTCATATTAAATTCATGTCAGTGTTTCGAATTACAATAAAGCTATTCAATGTTCTTTTTGGTATATCCATTTTCGAGCACCCTGTATATTCTTCATTTATCTGTCTCTCCATTTCACTCATAATTTTATCAGCAGTGATCCAAAACAAGCAAAATTTTCCGACAACATCTAACAGTTCACCAGCATTAATTCAAGCAAGCGTGACTCTGCTTGCCACTGTTTGTCAACACCGGTTCAGGATTGAATTTGCTTTTACAGAATCAATGCTGCAGAAAGTATATGCACGCCCAAAAGGTCGTGGAGCCGACGGGTTGTGTAGGAAAAACGTTTTATTGTTCATGTAGAGAGACACATATGCAGAAGACTTTTTTTTAATGGAGCTACAGTAATACCCCGATTTACGCCCTCCGCACTTTCGCTATAATGTACTCAACTCATTGATACCCAGTCCCATTAAGCGTACTGTGGTACCTCGCCAAAACATACTCGAGATTTACGAACTTTACCGCAAAGACTCTGTTGTCCTTCCCCCGCACCTCCAATTAGCACAGTAGTGTCAGTGAGTCGGAGACGAGGTTTGTCGAGGCACCTTCTTTATTGAACACACATTATCTCGCCTGCACACTCGACAGTCGCTAGCCTCTACACAACACTCGCCATCTAACATCGATGGCGCTGACCGAGACAGCCAACAGGCTATCTAGCAGCGCAATATCGAGCGACGATGGCGATGAGACGACAGCAACGAGACGATCCAATCCCCAAAACCAGCAGCCTCGAACTCCTGCTCTTGGCTCCTTTTATGCTACCAATGCGGCCTGGCTCCGACCTAGCCACGCCTCCCTTCTCGAACTCACTAGCAGGTTCCAGGAGCTTCCAGATAGGGTCCTCCATGACCCTTGCCCCAGTTCATCCGCCCTGCCGACACCCCTGTATATGCTCACCGGCGTGTGCACTGTTTGTCCACCACAGTTTCCGTTGCTGGATACTAGCCAGCGCTATTACACTACACATACATACACAGAGATCCAACATTGTTTACGCTACAAGGTGACATTCACGTGCCATATGTTGCCCTAACATTATCGTCCCTGACTACAGGAGTCTCTTTCTGGCGACTATTTTTATACAAGTGTAAACATTGTTTTATATGATGAACAACTAATGTTACCTATAAACGCCATTTTTGTCTGTCTGCCTGTGTCTCTGTCTGTCTACGCACGCCTTACAAAGCTTTTAACTGACAAGCTGTTGGGTTTACGTTTCAAAAAATTACACAGATACAACACACTAAGCCCCCGGATGAAAATGTGCTATTTGTTTTGCCCTCGGTCAAATGTAAACTAATAAAATCACTCTTCATAATAATTTATTATTACACAAAGCATGCATCTGCGCATGCGCAGAAATGCTGACTCGCGGTTGCCCCGAGCAATGCACACCACCTCACTGAGCGGCGACTGGAGAGAGAAGCACAACACTGAAATAAATTCTGAACAGTGTGATGTTCTCTTCTCCCCCACCCAATGTGTGCAGTTACTACTGTATAGTCAGTAGATACCACTGTAGAGTCGGTAGATACTGCTGTACAGTCGGTAGATACTAATGTACAGTCGGTAGATACTACTGGAGAGTCGGGAGATACTACTGTCGAGTCTGTAGTTCTGTCGAGTGGGTTGATACTACTGTGGATTCGGTAGATACTACTATAGAGACAGTAGATACTACTGTAGGGTCGGTAGATACTACTCTACAGTCGGTAGATACTACTATAGAGTCGGTAGATACTACTGTAGAGTCGGTAGATACTACTACTATAGATGAATAGATACTACTATTAATTCGTAGATACTAATATTGGTCTGCCTCACGGCAGGGGTGGGGGTGTGCGTACACAGGAATTTCCTGTATTGATGTTGTTTGGTCACGTGACCAGGAAGTTAGGATTTGACATTCTCTAAGCCACGTGGCAGGGTGTCAGCCATTACACAGTACAAAATGGAGGCACAAATAGCGTCTCAGTGAAGACAGGTGCATCTGTTCATTGTGGGACTTTAAGAAGCATTGTTTGTAAGTTCGTTTATGTTTTTATAATACTCGTGATGATGTTATGTTAGAATGGCCGTTATAATGCTGTAAATGCCTTTATAATGCTGTTAAATTGTTATGATACATATGAGGCCTAGTTACCAACAAAGCCTGTCACTTGCATTATTGCGAATGTTACTTGTAATTGAATAAGTCGAGTCAGACTTGTACCCATGTAACTTTATTGCGATCTTGAGAGCAAGGATGACGAAATATCTCACCCACAGTTCAGTGTTATGTCCAGTGCTGTACATTTAGGCTGCAGTATGGTGATTACACGATGTGCCCTTATTTAACAAAGTAGCTTATTCTCTTGTATAGCTATTCAGTACTAATGTAGGTACCTGGTCCATCCAGGATATATTGTTGAGTTTCATGTCATCTAAGACAATGTTATGATGCTGTAGTAGTTCATTCATTGTATTGATATTTCCAAGTATTAACATATGCTGTATTTGTGCTGTGTTTTTCCATCAGTTTTACCTCATTCAATCATTAAATACGCTTGGAGTCAGATGTTCACCCTGGCTCTGAAGGTTTATTGAATGCGAGGTTATCTACTTGGATAGTGGTGCAACGCAGCACACAGCGAGACCGAGATAGTAAAAAGACATTCTTCTTGGAGCTCCGAACCAGCCAGCTCCTCAGGCTTGGAGCTCTCAAGCAGCCAGCTCTGCAGCGAGTCTACATTAAACTTGTGTTGCAAGCATCGCAGCATGGAAAGCCACAGTTCAGCAGGGAGAGATGTTGAAGCAAGTGATTTGAGCAATGCAGGACCTCCCATCGTGCCTCAAGAAGACCAAGGGAGTTCAAGGCCCCAAAGAGAGGTGAAGCTGACACAACAGGCCTTGGAAAGCTATGATGCTGAGAAGCAGGACCTTGATGCCAGGATACAAAGGGCATGGGACCAGGTTGAAGCAAACATCTGAAGCTCAAAACGCCTCAGACACAGTGGCCTCAATTCAGCGGGCCATACATCGAGTGAAGGTGAGCAGTTCAAGCTACAAGCTGCTGGCGAATAAATACATCTCCCTCCTGATGAAGGTGAAAACAGACGAGGGCATCGAGGGAGTGCTCATTCAAGAGCACTTCCTTGAACTGCTCGATGATAATGTGAAGGCAGTGATACAAGACGCAATGGACCGTGTGTAAGTCTTAACAGAGACACGATCTCAGCACTCTGTCTCCTCCAAGTCCACCACAGGATCTAAAGGCGCAACACACTCACAGATATCATCTACCAGTATGGCAGCAGCTCAGGCACGTGCAGCAGCAGAAGCAGCACCCGGCGCGGTAGGCAAAGATTCATACTGGGGAGACGAAAGTCGGCCGGGCGTGTACTGGCCACCCACCCCCACCCCCTTGTTTGCCATGTTGGCCTTGGTAGGTGCTCGCTAAAAGCACTTGTCCCAACGGTCTTTTAAAGGTTATATGGGGGGGTGGGGGGGTCTTTGCGTACGTTGTGAGTGGGCAACAATTGATGATTTACATTTGGTATTTTCATATTCAATCTTCACAAATTTGCCACTTTGTACAATCTGACCTCGTTAGCCAACACCTCGCACCGTCACTGATTTTGTGTAAGCACAATCCCCATAACACAGACAACGATATTACATGCAACTGTCAGCATTATATGCGACTAATTACCTACTATAATCAATGTCTGTCCGTCCCGCGCGTGACGTCACTCCCCATGAGGTCCACCCCCCCCCCCCCCGCGTTACCTTACTCCACATGAGACCCAACCCACCTCATTAATATTCATGAGTGGGTGGATTTTTACAAACGCAGAGGAAGGTCACGCTAAATTAAATAATTTATTGCGCAAAGTCGCTTCAAATATGACGTGTCTTACAGAAAGTGACGGGAAAAAATCTATACGCAGCACAGTGCTACATCCGTGCGTGACGTCACTGCCCCCCCCCCCCTTAATTAATATTCATGCCCGGCTGAAAATTTACACTGACACACTCGGTCGTGCACTCCACATACCGCACCCCTCCCCTCATTAATAATCAAGAGTGGGTGACGTCACTCCACATGCTGCACCCCTCCACAATAACCATGAGGAGGTGACGTCACTCCAGATGCCACACTCCTCCACAATAACCATGAGCGGGTGACGTCACTCCACGTGGGGCAAACCCCCCTCATTAATAATCATGAGCTGAACAATTTTTCTATTTAATATTTCAGATTTACTGCAATATACACCCGTCCTTGGATGGGCAAAAAAGCGTGTGTATCCATTAAAAGCTCAGTTGATGAAATCATAAAAAATCGCCATCAGCAGCATCAATATCAGTAGTATCAGTTTCAACAACACGCAGAAAAGTGTACAAAATGCACTCAGTCTTGTGCATTATAAAATAAAAAATATCCAGTTCATGAAAAACTGTATTGTGGTCATATACCTTAGGTTGCCATCAAATACATTTTAGCAAATGTGACCAACTGAAAGGCAGCAGTGACACAGACAACTCTACCCTGGATTTGTTCTTAAGACGATGGTACTTTGCAACCGTCAGCAGTGTGGGTGTGTGGAGCAAGGAGCAATGATTGCCTGGCGGCCCTTTGATTGGTGTAGACCCACTGCAGGTGTTAATTGTTTTCGCCTACATTAATATTAGCTGCCCCGCCCATGCTGCTGACACACTTGGGCGAAGCCCATCTCTAAACCTTTATAAACAGTTTGCCTTTAGAGGCTAACCCCCCTTTTCCTGATGACGACCGCTTGTGTTGCGATCGAAACGCCGTGGTTTTTGTTTTAAATTTATTTGTGTTACTGAAAGAACTAAGTCGACATGAGACTGCCAGTATGCTCACTCAGGTTAAGAACCAGGCTACAGTCTACAGTATAGACTGCCAGTACTCACCCAGATTAATAATCATTGCTACAGGCTACATTATAGACTGCCAGTACACTCACTCCGATTAAAAACCAGGCTACAGTCTACATTAGTTTTTTTTTTTACTTTATTTTTTTTCAATCTACGCGACTTTACAGAAAGAATCAAAGAACATAGGGTTATATTTACTTTAACACATCACATAGGGTTGCAGAATTTATTTTAACAAATGTTCAAACTGACTGCCATTAACATTAATCCATGCATGAATTCGCCTTTGAAATGAATTCAGGACTTTTTCAAAGATTACAGGTGTGTAATCTTTGAACATTCATAAATTCAGTTTTGTCTCAATTCATTCCAGGGTCTTGGTCGAGTGTTGTAAACGTCGGATTTAAGTAACCCCACAGAAAAAAAATACACTATTACCTTAACGAATAATTAATGCGTGCATTAACGTTAATCAAAGTCAGTTTGAACATGTGTTAAAATAAATGCAAAAAACCCTTTGTGATGTGATAATATTAAATAACCCTGTGTCCTGACTTTTGAGCCACTCTGTATTAAAACTAAATAATCAAATCCCTAAATGTAATGACATTGAGCGATCATTAGGTCGGGGTGAAAAACCAAATCTAAAGTTACGGGGGGGGGGGGGGGGGGGTATTGTTTAAAAGCTATTAATCAGAATATTTATACTGGACGAATCCGATGAGCTATGAAGCTCTTTTTGCACAGATGTGGGGGGGTAAGAACGTTACAACCAACAATATACGATGGCAGTACAAATAGCAGTACTGCTATTTCAAAGGAGAATTCATGCATGGAGTACTGCTATTTGTACAAATATTTGTACAAATATCAGTACTGCTATTTGCAGTACTTTGTACTGATATTTGTACAAATAGCGGTACAAAGAACTGCTATTAGTGGACTGGGTTGACACCACCAACTTACTCCGCTAGAGAACCTGGTTCAACTGTGGTGGGGGGGGGGGGGGGTATTGCGGCTGAAACCCAGAGTCTCGGGGCAATGTTGGCTTCAATGTCTCCGACCTCCGGACCCCCGATCTGCCGCTCCTCACCAACTGCGTGAAGTCCTCGCCTGGCCTTGAGACTCGTTCGTATTTATGCAGTTTC